CCTGTAATGTTCACTAGGAGGCGAATAACGAAAAACCGGATAGATTTGAACCGCTACGATAAAACGATAAGGTTTGAAATAGTTAAGCTAATTTTTTAATATAATNCTCTCTGGGAACAGAACCAACTTTTGAACATGTAACTTTATTGTTCGAGTTTTTGACATTCAACTTTTGTAAATATATCACACTAACCTTATAATGCTTTGCAGTTATTTTGTAACATATCACAAACATTTGTAACATTTTGTCCTAAAGTTAAGGACTGCCTGTATTTAAATTATAGATAAAAGTTAAATTCAAAATACAGTAATACCTTGACTTACGCTACCCCGACTTACGTGAACCCGGAGTTACGCGATTTTCAAATCTCGTCGATTCGTCTTTTTTTTGAGTGCAATGCAACTCTTGATTACTCATTCCCCCCACACTATCGTTCAGCTTACATGTTCGGACGTGTCGTGCGGAATCGACACATAGCTACAATTTATTATGTGTTATTTATTTCTGTGTTTGTTATATCTACGGAGACTTGAGAGACTCTATGTGGTGATTTCTTGTAACCGTGAACGAATCAAAAGATGAGATAAGATTAATGAGAACATTTATTAGCTTACATACATCCCACTTGGATTTTACATATTGTGAAATTATACCCCGACTTATCAAATTCGACTTACGCGGTCATCGCTCAGTCCCACCTATCGCGTAAGTTCGGGGTATTACTGTACTGCCTTTTTTCCATAAACTATAATAAACCTTAACATGTGTTTAAGTAATATAGTTAGATAATGGTTTTAGAATAAGAATATATAGAATCTTACACATCTCAAATGAATTTTTCGGTCCTACAATCAATGAGTTCATATAATCTATAATTTAAGTAGGAAAAGAGTACATAAATAAATGTTTCACTTCAGTAATATGGCATAGCTGAATGGTACTGTACATATTTTATCAAAAGTTTATTTTATTATTTATCATAATTTTGGCTGAAGATGATATAAATTTTATTTTTGATAGTATTGTAGTCTTGCTGGTTAATCTATATATGAATATTTGCCTATTTTCAAAAAATATAAGTAAATTCTAGTATTTATATTAGAATGCATTTTAAACTATTCCTGATAGAATATTCAAATCAATATTTAAATTTAAGTGTATTTGTATATTGAATATTATTTTAAAATAGTTAAACTAAAACATGAAATCATAGAATGATATATGAATTATTGATAAAGATTAAATCATGATATATAAAAGTTAAGTTTTGAAAATTAAAAACAACTACTAAAATAATTACACACATGTTTAAAAGTTAAGGATGAACAATGTTTGTACATAAATAGAGAAAACTGTAGGTGAATGCAGACAAATATGATAAGAACTATATTACTCAATGTCTAATACAGGGTAATACACTAAAGCTTGTAGGATTTTATGAATCAAAGCAATAAAAGTAAGTCTTTGGTGAAAAAGATACATATAGCAGTTGGACATAGGTGGAGAATGGGTGGAAAGTGCTTATCAGTACTCAGGCAGAGAAACCTGTCAGTATGGAGATAAGCATTGTTTTGAAATTTACTGAGCCACTGAATGGTTGGTGAACTTTTCTAGCTATTGCTGCTAGCAGTTGAGTTCATTCTTAACTTTTGGTCATGTGTGTAGAAGGTATTAAGTTTTAATTCCTAAATGTTTCCTAAGATAACTGTACATTTCAACTTCAGATTCTGTTGCTTTTTTCTTAATTCGTAAACCAAATTATCTTGTTACAGATTTTCTATTCCAAATTTCAGTTGTCTAGAACTGCAGCAATCAAGTAACTATACTAGCATTTGATACATTTTTATTATTCTCTCTATAATGTAAATGCATTTCGAATCACACTGTCTTAGTGATTCCTCTTCAGTATTACATCTAAAAATAATACAATACTTTTAAAAAAATAAAATAAACACAATTCAGGCTTCCATTACACAAGTAATTGCAGGCAATAATGTTTTTACTTTGTAATAATCTTAATTGTATTTATTTATTTTATTTTTTAAAAGTATTACATTATTTTTAGATGTAATACTGGAGAGGAATCACTAAGACAGTGTGATTCAAAATGCATTTGTATTAGGGGGACCAGAAAGTAATGCCATTTCTGCACATGTCATTATTTGTTTATCATTTATCAGTTCATTGTGTACTTCAAAGCCATGCCAAAGACATTTTACGGTTAAAGTGACTTGTTTACTTATAAATAATTAAATCTTAAATTTATTTTTGCAGTTTTGGGTGAAATGGCCAGTCAAAAACCAGAAGAGGTACATAACTGGCATTGTATGCTTTTTGAGTTTCATAAGGGTAGTAATGCAACAGTTGCTATAAAAAATGTGTGTGATGTTTATCCAAGTGCATTAGACATTCGTAAATGCCAAAGGTGGTTTTCTAAGTTCAGATCCAGTAATTTTGATCTTTTTGACTTCAAATTGATTAGGAAGACAAACAACTTTAGACAATGACATGTTAAGGACGGAAGTGGAAGCAAATCCATGTCAGACAATCGAGGAACTGTCAAACACTCGTAACCAACCCTGGTCGATCATCCAAGAATATTTGCAGCAGGTTGGTAAAGTATGCAGAGCAGGTGTTTGGGTCCTACATAATATGTTCAAAGAAAACAAAGCTAACCTATCCACCACATGCAACATATTACTTCAACAACACAATACAAAAGTGTTTTTTTGATCACTGGAGATGAAAAATGGGTCCTCTATGATAATCTAAAATGCAAAAGGCAGTGGCTCTCTCTGAAAGAATTGCCACAAAGTACTGCTAAGCCAGGTTTACATCACAAAAAAGTGCTTTTGTGTGTTTGGTGGAGTATTCATGGAATTGTTCATTTTGAAGTGCTGAAACCTGGGCAGACTGTAAATGCAGATTTTTACTGTGAACAATTGGATCGAGTAAATCAATCTTTAATTGAAAAGTGTCCAGCAATTGTCAACAGAAAAGGCGTTATTCTGCAACACAATAATGCAAGACTGACTATGCAAGATGAACCCTGGAAAAAATTAATGAATTGGGGTGGGAGATACTGCCTCACCCACCATACTCGCTTGACATTGCACTATCAGATTTCCATTTATTCTGATCACTACAACACTTTCTATGTGACAAAAATTTGAAATTTGGATGATATCCAAAATGCCATCTCCAGATATTTTGCTCAAAAACCAATTGATTTTTATCTATTCGGCATTGAAAATTTGCACACTAGATGGCAAAATGTTGATAACAAGGGTGATTACATCATTGATTAAAAATAAAAACAAATAAAAAATTTATTTGTTTGAATTTAATGAAAAAAAATGACATTACTTTCTGGTCTCCCTAATATTAGAGAGAGAATAATAAAAATATGTGAAATGCTGTATAGTTACTTGAGTTGCTGTGGTTCTAGACAATTGAAATTTGGAATAGGAAATTTGTGCCAAGATCAGTTGATTTACAAATTAAGAAAGAAGTGACAGAATGCATTTATAATCCAAATCCCAATAAAATAATTCAGATTAAGATTCAAAGTTAAATGATGTACAGTTTAACCCGATTATAACGACATTGGATGTAACGACAACCCTAATATAACGTCAAATTTTTATCGGTCCCACGATTTTAGTATACTAGATAATGTTAAAAAACCCACTTGTAACGACATAAAACCCTGTTTTAACGTCATATTTGAAGCACTCTTAAATTTACAAAATTAAATTATAAATTTTATTTATCAAAGAAAATACTACGTGTTCAGTCCTAGGGTCAGAGTCCGCTTCCTAGAACGATTGTGGGTGGTACTGTCACCACCTGATTCAGTGGGGTGAGATGCGCCACCCCTTTAAACGACGTGACAGTGGGTTAGTCTGCATAGCTCTCATACTCGTGTTGTAGTTTAGCATCAAATCAGGTAAAATGGCTAGCTTAAAAAGGAAAGCGTTAACATTAGACTGCAAAGTAGAAATAATTAAAGCAGTTGAAAGTGGAAGAAAAAAGGCAGATGTATGCAGAGACTTTGGTTTAGCAAATTCTACAGGTCTCGTAAAACTTCATCGGAAATAATGAACAAAATCTACGACTTAGAAAATGACATTGATAAACAATTTTTAGGTGAAAAATGCCTACAATCTAAAATAACTGACTTTTTTTAAGTGAATATTTTTATTGTTTCTTTTTAATTGATATACATTAATTTAACCTAAAAGTGAAAGATATTGGACTTCATGTCTATTGATAGATAAGCAAGAAACGAGAAAATTATCATCCAGGCATTAATAACACCTGGATGATAATTTTCTCATTTCTTGCTTAATTTAACTTTTTGTTGCCTTTTGATTCGACATTATTCTCAAAACCGAAAGTGCCGCCATTATCGAAACTTGACAAATAAAAATTTTTTATAAAAAATAATTTTTGAAATTTTTAATTACATCGTTGTAAATTTAGACATAATAATGTAAATAAAGTTGATTTAAATGTTTAGTTTGCACTTTTATACATACGATATTAAATTAGATGAATTTTATAATAGATTCTTAAACAGACTTGATACTTTTATGGGACTGAAATTATGACCCCGCAGATAACGACACTCGGTTATAACGTCAAAAAATTGCCGGTCCCATGGATGACGTTATAAGCAGGTTAAACTGTATTTTGATTTTTTAATTATGTGAATTTAAAGGTTGGAAAAATATTTCATTTAAAAATGAATAGTTTTTAAAGTCTGTATTTACCTTTGAATTGTTAAAGAGAAAAAATAAAAATATCAAGTTTTTAAATAGTTTTATAATAAATAATGCTTGTTATGGATACTTATGAGATTGAAAAAAATGTTTAAATCTTAGACTTGCCCATTTTATCTATATATTACATAATTAAAAAAGAAAACACTAAATTTATTTCAGTTTTATAACTTTGATGATTAAAATATTATAGAAAAGTGAATTTGAATGTCAAGCTTTTAGATCTTACTGTAGATGTCCTCCTTGTGTATTACAGATGATGGAAGGCTTAGCTTGTGGTCACAGATTTTGTGTTGAATGTTGGGAAGAATATTTAAGGACAAAAATTATGGAAGAAGGAATGGGCCAAGTAAGTAAAATATAGTAACAAGTATTACTTAAAAAATTTGAATTAATTTGAAATTTGTTAATTTTAGTTAACTTAAAAATAAATAAAATAATTTATTTACATAACATTAATTAGTAAAAAGAATTATTAAAATTCTTCTTCCTTAAAATTTCTTATGAAATTCAACAAATTCAGACTTTTGATGATTATTTCTATTATAAAAAATTTGTTTTGTGTGCATAATCTAAAATATAGTAAATTCAATATTATTATTTATAGTTTATAATATTATCTTATAAATTTAACTTAAATTATTAACATTAAAGCTCATATTTCTTGATTTCAGATTACTCAGTAATTAAACTTTTAGTAATTTATTGTTAGTATTCAAGTTTTTTTTATATCAGTTATTAAAATATTTTTCATAACTTGTTAATAAATAATTAGCTATGCAACATTTGTTAAATACACCTTTAACCAGTAGGTAACAGTTTAGAGAACATTTAACATTTTGATCTGATTAATGAGCCATCTTCAGGTGTAAAAAGATGTAATAGCTATGCTAGAAAAAATAGAGGCATAAAGTAAACAACTGAGGAGAGATGGACTATGATATCACTAAGTGGTGTGAAAGATTAACTGAGAAATTGCTGGGCAGGGGGGAGAGAGTTCTTGTCTCTACTATTGATAAATATTTATTGAAGAATAAACAGTAAAATAAAACATTTTATAAAAAGAATTACAAAAAAAATTATTAGATATAATAATACTTTTAGTTGTTAAATTTGAATTTTCATTTACTATGATGTTTGTGTTGTACATGATATTGCTTTATAAAATGAATATGCACATTATATTGGTTCTTTTTTATATGGCTGGTAAGTTTGGTTAAAGTATTTATCATTATCTCTATATAAATAGAGATAGCAATACTAGGATCTTGTCCCAAATATTAATCCCAAAATTTATTAATTTTATTAGTTCAGTACTTTACACGTACTTTATGAAAATGATACTACCTTAACAAAAAAAGATGGAACTCTATATTTAGCCTTATCATTTTTTATATTATATGTATATTTGTGCATCAGTAAATAGTCAATATATTTAGGTAAATAATATTTTAATAGAATGGTTCTGATTCTTTGTAATGTATATAATTAAACGAGGAAATTAAACTACAATTTTAAAATACCTGATTAACTTAATTGTATTCAATTTTAAAATTATTTTATTACAGATCGTAAAAACAATTATAGATTATTACAAATTTTATGGAAGAACAAATTCTACAGAATGTATCACAGATTCTATTATAGACTAGCTATACCTGGTCATGCATTGCTGTGGTTCAAAATGTATCTATTATAAATGTACAACACTCCTCGCAAGAGGGAATTTCGAAAAATTCCTTTTTGGTATACATTCTCTTGACGTATCTTATTAAAACGTAATCAAAAACACAAAAAACCACATCTAAAATAGTATAATAGAAGCAGAGTTCTTCACGGTCAGCCTTAATCTTGTCCCTCTCTCCTGTGGGGGGAATTTTGACATCTATATAATGTAAAAACACACATGTATTCGAATGCAATGTTGTGTCAAAATTTCAAAGCAATTGGTTAAGAACTTTAGGAGATTTAAGATTTTGAACAAATGAACATTTACATTTTTATTTATATAGATTGTTACGCTAATTCTAGTTAGATAATGAAAACATAATTTTTCCCAGTAGTTCCTTGAAGTTAAATAAATACTTTTCCTTTTATTATCAACAAATATTTAAGAGTTAATCAAGTTAGAAAGTAACTTTCTATAACAATAACAATTGGAAAAAACATTAAAATGCTTTAATGGAATAGTTTGGATTTTTTTTCTATTTATATTTTGTGGAATTTTTTGACTAATTATGAAACTTTTAGTCTGTATCTCCTAAGAGCTTAAAAATACTGTAAATCATATTATACCAGAATTATTTCATCAATTTTAAATTTTTACTAAATGAATTTATGAAATTATTTATAATTGTATGTTAAGAATATTTTCATAGCATGAGAAACTTAAATATATTTTTATTTAATAATTAATAAATTTTTAAATTGTTTCTGATATATCCATTTATTTTTCAGACAATATCTTGTGCAGCTCATGAATGTAATATCCTTGTAGATGATGAAACTGTCATGTAGGTTAATAGTTTTATTCATTATAAATATACTTAAATATGTTATCTTCATTCAATATTTCTTAATTTTAAATTTTAATGCATTTATAGTTACAAATGTACTTTTAAAATAACATATTCTACTTCATACAAACTTTTTGTTTAAAATGTACTTTCAAATTACTGTATATCGATAAATTTTTGTGATGTTTAAGGCTGGATTTATATGCATTTAAAACTGCAATATATGCACTGTTGTAGACATGTTAAAATGCCTTGAATATTTGCCTTAAGCATTTTGCATATTAAAAGTGCTAGTAATATACAGAATACTAAAATTTATATGTTGAAATGCATATGTACTTTATTTCTGTCTGCAAGCAAATCTTACATCTATTGTCACATTTTTTTAGGTGGGAGGATAATAAATATGCAATAATAGGCAACACAAGGTATTTGAAAAGTATTGTCATAAAATACATATTAGAATAATGTTTCATATAGGAGATGTGCAGTCAAGTCAATTATGAGTAAAAGTTTATAACTTTCTATGTTATTTAAACAATCATTATTGAATTTATTTCTATGCATATACACTTGTTTACAAAATGCTTGAGGTTAAGTAGTTGTAGATTTTTGTTTGCAGCCCTGTACAAATAATGAAAGTTGAGTAAGAGCTCTTTTTAAGTTATTAACTAATTATAGATTTAGTGTTGAAGTTGATAGATTAATGTTTTGTTCCCAACTGATATCACGAATGCTACCAAAGTTAGCTTCAGTGCAACTAGAATTTTCTGTGATCAATGACTTTTTTGGCATGTTTCATGTTATGCTGATGTAAAGATGTTTCAATGTACTGAGACACTTGAAACATTTTGTTTGCTTATCTTACAATAAAGAATTTTTCTGTGTGTTTTATAAGCTCCTGTACTTATCTAATGCTGAATTGCTAACAAAGTTTTTTCTGTTTTACCCATATTGTTGATTGAACGGAAATGAATATAACAATGTTTTCCACACATGTTCAATGTGCAGAAGTTTGAGTATGATACTCACAAGAGATTTTCTTTATATTTAATTAAACATTATATTTATGCTATTTTTTGAAAGATTTAAATTGTTATATTGATTATTAAATTAATTAATATAACAATTTACAATAATTTTAATCCAATTAATTCAAATGGTTTTGAGAGATGAGAGATTTCCATGGCAATATAAAAAGTATTTGTTTATAGGAAATTAAGAGTTGAAGTTAAATGGTTTAAATGTATTTGAACATTTAACTTGCACTCTTTTAAACCGTGACATTTGAATTTTGTAAACTTGTCTGTAATTGGATGGCAGAGTGAAATTCTCATGTAAAATTGTACATGTGCAAAATAGATTCACTGCACAGATAGCAGGAAAAAACATAGCACTTGAAATCATGCAAACAAGCTATAAAGTTTATAAATATAAAGCACTTATTTAGTTCTATCTGCATCTTCATATCTGCAAAATATGCAGCAAAAATCATAAATGCATATAAAATATGCTTTATTTGACATCCTTGATTTTTTTTCTAGTTGGATTCAAACCATATTTCTATCAAGGAGAATGAATTACAAAACAAAAACAGACAATGACATACAGATTGCTGCTAGATGTTGATGAAAGTCTTACCAAACGATGAAAAAATGATGATAGTGCTGCCCTTGTGCTCCATTCCTGATACTTTTTGATCACACTAGTATACAGATTTTTGAATTGGCTTCCCCTAACTTTGTTTTGTTCTGGATTTTTCAATGCTTTAAAACTCAAAGTCAAAATAAAAAGTTTTTAAAATTTCATTTCTTAAATTTCAGTAAATTGTTTTTACTTTGTTAATTTATTAATATACTGAAATAAATAAAACAAGTTATATAAGAATATATAAAAGTTAAGTTTTGAAAATTAAAAACAACTACTAAAATAATTACACACATGTTTAAAAGTTAAGGATGAACAATGTTTGTACATAAATAGAGAAAACTGTAGGTGAATGCAGACAAATATGATAAGAACTATATTACTCAATGTCTAATACAGGGTAATACACTAAAGCTTGTAGGATTTTATGAATCAAAGCAATAAAAGTAAGTCTTTGGTGAAAAAGATACATATAGCAGTTGGACATAGGTGGAGAATGGGTGGAAAGTGCTTATCAGTACTCAGGCAGAGAAACCTGTCAGTATGGAGATAAGCATTGTTTTGAAATTTACTGAGCCACTGAATGGTTGGTGAACTTTTCTAGCTATTGCTGCTAGCAGTTGAGTTCATTCTTAACTTTTGGTCATGTGTGTAGAAGGTATTAAGTTTTAATTCCTAAATGTTTCCTAAGATAACTGTACATTTCAACTTCAGATTCTGTTGCTTTTTTCTTAATTCGTAAACCAAATTATCTTGTTACAGATTTTCTATTCCAAATTTCAGTTGTCTAGAACTGCAGCAATCAAGTAACTATACTAGCATTTGATACATTTTTATTATTCTCTCTATAATGTAAATGCATTTCGAATCACACTGTCTTAGTGATTCCTCTTCAGTATTACATCTAAAAATAATACAATACTTTTAAAAAAATAAAATAAACACAATTCAGGCTTCCATTACACAAGTAATTGCAGGCAATAATGTTTTTACTTTGTAATAATCTTAATTGTATTTATTTATTTTATTTTTTAAAAGTATTACATTATTTTTAGATGTAATACTGGAGAGGAATCACTAAGACAGTGTGATTCAAAATGCATTTGTATTAGGGGGACCAGAAAGTAATGCCATTTCTGCACATGTCATTATTTGTTTATCATTTATCAGTTCATTGTGTACTTCAAAGCCATGCCAAAGACATTTTACGGTTAAAGTGACTTGTTTACTTATAAATAATTAAATCTTAAATTTATTTTTGCAGTTTTGGGTGAAATGGCCAGTCAAAAACCAGAAGAGGTACATAACTGGCATTGTATGCTTTTTGAGTTTCATAAGGGTAGTAATGCAACAGTTGCTATAAAAAATGTGTGTGATGTTTATCCAAGTGCATTAGACATTCGTAAATGCCAAAGGTGGTTTTCTAAGTTCAGATCCAGTAATTTTGATCTTTTTGACTTCAAATTGATTAGGAAGACAAACAACTTTAGACAATGACATGTTAAGGACGGAAGTGGAAGCAAATCCATGTCAGACAATCGAGGAACTGTCAAACACTCGTAACCAACCCTGGTCGATCATCCAAGAATATTTGCAGCAGGTTGGTAAAGTATGCAGAGCAGGTGTTTGGGTCCTACATAATATGTTCAAAGAAAACAAAGCTAACCTATCCACCACATGCAACATATTACTTCAACAACACAATACAAAAGTGTTTTTTTGATCACTGGAGATGAAAAATGGGTCCTCTATGATAATCTAAAATGCAAAAGGCAGTGGCTCTCTCTGAAAGAATTGCCACAAAGTACTGCTAAGCCAGGTTTACATCACAAAAAAGTGCTTTTGTGTGTTTGGTGGAGTATTCATGGAATTGTTCATTTTGAAGTGCTGAAACCTGGGCAGACTGTAAATGCAGATTTTTACTGTGAACAATTGGATCGAGTAAATCAATCTTTAATTGAAAAGTGTCCAGCAATTGTCAACAGAAAAGGCGTTATTCTGCAACACAATAATGCAAGACTGACTATGCAAGATGAACCCTGGAAAAAATTAATGAATTGGGGTGGGAGATACTGCCTCACCCACCATACTCGCTTGACATTGCACTATCAGATTTCCATTTATTCTGATCACTACAACACTTTCTATGTGACAAAAATTTGAAATTTGGATGATATCCAAAATGCCATCTCCAGATATTTTGCTCAAAAACCAATTGATTTTTATCTATTCGGCATTGAAAATTTGCACACTAGATGGCAAAATGTTGATAACAAGGGTGATTACATCATTGATTAAAAATAAAAACAAATAAAAAATTTATTTGTTTGAATTTAATGAAAAAAAATGACATTACTTTCTGGTCTCCCTAATATTAGAGAGAGAATAATAAAAATATGTGAAATGCTGTATAGTTACTTGAGTTGCTGTGGTTCTAGACAATTGAAATTTGGAATAGGAAATTTGTGCCAAGATCAGTTGATTTACAAATTAAGAAAGAAGTGACAGAATGCATTTATAATCCAAATCCCAATAAAATAATTCAGATTAAGATTCAAAGTTAAATGATGTACAGTTTAACCCGATTATAACGACATTGGATGTAACGACAACCCTAATATAACGTCAAATTTTTATCGGTCCCACGATTTTAGTATACTAGATAATGTTAAAAAACCCACTTGTAACGACATAAAACCCTGTTTTAACGTCATATTTGAAGCACTCTTAAATTTACAAAANTATTAATATACTGAAATAAATAAAACAAGTTATATAAGATAGTCAAGTTTACTAACTATTAATAATTTAAGTATTTGAGATATTTGAATATTCAAGATCTGGTTAATACGGTGGAACCCTAATTAATGAACATAATCTGTTCCACGAGTCCATTCGTTAACCAAAGCAATTTTTCCCATAGAAATTAATGCAAATACAATTAATTAGTTTTAGATGTCAGTATTTTTGTAATTTTATTTGTAAAATGGGTTTTCTTTGATGAAAATATAAGAAAACATAGTATCTATCATTACAGCAACAAATATGTAATCTTTATTTAATAAAGTAGCACTGTACATACCTTTATTTCTACGGAGCTTAATGCTTGGAAGAGGAATCCCCCTCCATAAAAATATCAGGTAGCACTGCATCGGGAGTTTCTTCGAGTCAAGGTCTCTTTTGATAAGGAACAAGAAAGTGGTTTAAAGTTGATTGTCTTACTCTCTTAATCAAAAGTCTTCTAAAATGTGCTAGCACAGTGTCGTTCATTAAATTAATGACCCTATTAGCCACAACTTTGTTAGGATGGTGCTTCTCGATAAATTCCTGCACATGATGCCATTTTCTGCAAATTTCCTTGAACTCAGCACTGGTGATTTCTTCCCTAGCCTCTTCCTCTGACGAATGCTCTTCTTGTAAGACTTTCATCTGTTCTTCCTGCATGGCAACCAGCTCTTCTGTAGTTAGTTCATTTTGATGGTCTTTCAGCAACTCCTCCACATCTGCATCATCTACCTCTACTCTCAAACTTTTGCCAATGGACATGATTTCATGCACTTCATCAGGAGAACTCTCTTCAAATTCCTGAAAGTTTGCTATGGGACACAAGTTGGCCAAAGAATCCTCCAGGCCGATTGAAAAGTGCGGTGAGAGACCTCACTCCAGGCTTTGTTAATAAGGTTGATACAATGCAGGATGTTAAAATGCTCCTTCCAAAAAGCTCTAAGAGTTAAGTCGGTATCATTGGTAACCTGAAAACACGTGGTAAACAGTACCTTGGTATACAGCTTTTTAAAATTGGAAATCACTTGCTGATCCATTGGTTGTAGTAATGGAGTTGTGTTGGGTGGAATGAATTTGACCTTGATGAAGTCGTGTTCACTATCCAAGTCCTCCAAATTTGGTGGATGTGCTGGAACATTATCCATTAAGAGAAGACATCTAAGAGGAAGATCCATTTCCTGAAGATAATTTTTAACAGTAGGAGCAAACACATCTGTGAGCCAATCCATGAATAAAGTTTGAGTTACCCATACCTTACTATTTGCCTTCCATTGTACAGGCAGTTTGGACTTTGTCACATTTTTGCTCTTAAAGGCACAGAGATTTTCAGCATTGTAGACTAAAAGTGGCTTGATTTTGAGGTCACCACTTGCATTAGCGCAAAATAAAAGAGTGAGTCTGTCCTTCATGGGTTTGTGCCCGGGAAGTGCTTTCTCTTCTTGGGTTATGTACGTTCGTCTAGGCATTCTTTTCTAAAAAAGACCGGTCTCATCACAATTAAACACTTGATTCCAGACATAGCCTTCACTTTTTACAAACTCTGCGAATTCATCTACAAAATGCTTTTGCTGCTTTTTCATCTGAACTTGAAGCCTTCCCGTGTCTTATGACACTGTGAATGCCAGTTCATTGACGAAACCTATCAAACCACTCTTGGCTCGCTTTAAAGTCCTGCCTGTCTGCACTTGTACTGGGTGTCTGGGTCAACAAGTCATTGTATAAATTTTTAGCCTTTTCATAAATTATAGCTTCACTAACACTGTCTCCAGCAAGTTGTTTTTCATTGATCCATATTAGCAACAGTTTTTCAACTTCATCTAAAACTTTAGATCTTTGTTTCGATATCACATTCACTCCTTTAGCCACTTCGGCAGCCTCAAATGCATTTTTGTTTTTAATAATTGTAGAGATAGTCGATTTTGCCACATTATATTCTCTAGCGATGTCAGAAACACGAATGCCATTCTCATATTTTGCAATAATTTCTTTCTTTAATGCTACACTAAAATGTTTTCTATTTCCACTGTCACTTTTCTCTTTCTTTGGTGCCATATTGATTAAATATACAGTATAAATAACAAAACTAAAAAATGAAGTTTATCACACTTGAAAAAGCAATGCTTACCTCGCACTCGCCTAAGAGCAACTGAAATTTGTGAGGTTCCAGAACGGCTGGAAACTATTGTGTTGATGCAAAATTTCGTCCTGTTTTTAGCACCATCTGGCTAAAAACACAACACTGAAGTGTTATTTCTTTCACATGTGTAAAATTTTTATGTTGTTTGACAAAAGGGATCTTAGCTAGTATTTGAGAATAAAGTTGTGTTACTTAGTTGTGTTTTTAAAATTTTGTTAAGCATTACAAATGGCAGAAAATAAGGAGCATTTTTGACATATTATGCTTTTTTATTTCCGAAAAGGCAAGAATGCTTCGCAGACACAAAAAAAAAGATATGTTCTGTGTATGGTGAGGGAGCCATTGATGATTCCATGTGACGTAAGTGGTTCAGAAAGTTTCGTGAAAGCAAGCTTACAAATTTGACACAAAAAGCCGTTAAGTTCGTTATCTGAGACAAAATTTTTGCAAAATAAAAGTTTGTTAACTGATTTTGTCGTTAACCAGGGTTCCACTGTATTCAAATTTGAAAAAGTTATACTTGCCATCTCTAATTTTTAATATTTTAAGTAGTAATTTCTACAATGAGTACAAAATAATTACTTTGTATTTTTTAGTATTATTCTTCACTGTTTGACATAGACTAACATATTTAATTAGAAAATTTATATTAAATGATAATTTTTCTGCTTTTTAAAATTTTCTAAAAGTGTTTTTATTTACATTTTATTGATATTTCAATTATTAATAAAATATGAGCTTTGATATGAAATAGATTTAACAATTAATATACAGTAGAGTATCATTTATCCGAAAGCAGGTTATCCGAATCGTTGGTTAACCAAAAGCATTCCAGTCAGCAAATTTAAATTTTCGTTAGTGCTGTGGCGCTGCAATCTTTGGCTATATCTTAGGCTACTTCAATATTTTTTTTGTTGGTGTGTGTGTTTTAGCTGGCAACACTGACACTTTTGTGTGGTGTTTTTCTGAAGACTGTGTGTTGTGCTGAATCGAACGTTTTTGATACTAGATCAACTTCTAAAGTATCTTTTTTTTTTGTTTTTATATTTTTCAATATATTTATTTTGTTTGTGAAAAATAAAGAAATAATTTTAATGATATAATAGCCACGATTATTATTTTAAAAAGTATACGTTAGGCTTAACATTGATAAAATTCAACACGAAGTGATATGAAATGGAGAAAAATTTCAACATGGGATAGGTTAATATATTTTTTCGTACTAATCGGTTATCCAAACAACCTCAGTCCCCAATTGATTCAGATAAATGACGCTGTACTGTAAAATCTAAATGGAAATTACTTTATATTTAGGTCTTTCTTTCCTCAAAAGTTATATTTAATTCAGAATTTTATAAAAGTAATTTATTTATATAAATTACAAGAGAGAATACATTGTTTTGAATATTTCTCAAATTAAATTTATTAAAATTTTATTTTTACAGGAAGTTGATAAGTGATACTAAAGTTAAATTGAAATATCAGCATCTAATCACAAATAGTTTTGTTGAAGTAAGTTCATAATTGTAATAATTATTTTTGTCTGTGATAAAACTTGTGTATTCAAAATTGATTGAATGCTTAATATTTTAAATATTTAGCATTCAATATGATTAAAATTTTGGAATTACCACTGTATGATTGGATTTTTATAATTTTTATTTTAGTTTGCATATATATCTTTATGATTACTGAAATTCATATGAAAAAATGATTCAGAATATTAAGTGTTTATTTTGAATAAAGTTAATTTGATTTTAATTAAAATATGAATAAGTTAAGTTAAATACATTTTAATTAACTTTAAAAGTAAAGTTTAAAATATTACAAAAATATTCATTCTTAATATTCTGTGTGCTTTGGAAATATAGGATGATTCTAGATTATTGTTGGGGTTGAAGTGATTAACCAGAAACAACAAATTAAAATTGCTTAGAGTATTAAAATATAACTCAAAGTGTTGTTAATTATAGAATCAATACTGCAGAATAAGAAACAGTTTCAGCATGAATGCCTTTTTTTGGTATATATGATTTCCAAGTGATGATCAGTTTAGCATTTGTAGTAGACTGTATTTAAGCAACAATTATGAGGGAAGTCACATGGATCTTGTAACAATGTCCTTTATGTAGCCTCACAAGAAATCAACTGTTATATTGTGAGCATATGAGCCGTAGATTTGGTCTATCATGTCCAACCCAGCATTCAGGAAAACACATGCAAAGAAATTCTTGAACAATAAGAGCTCACAATGGTAGGGTGATGTTTTTGCTGAAATATCACATTTGGTTGATGCTGCATTGTGATTAAACTGTTTCAAAAACCAAAGTTTACACATTGCTTTCTCTTGAACAGTAACCATTTTGAAGTATGATGTCATATTATTTCCCAGACATCACATAAATCCTTTTGAGTTACACTTTCATATTCTATAAGTAGTTTTATTTTGCTGATTCCAGTTGGAAAATTATAAGATCCCAACAGTAAAACATAGAACTTTTTGAATTAAATTTAAAATGTATAAGTTTTTAGTAAATCAGTAATCAGAAGAATGAAATTTATAAATTATTTGCATTGAGAACCTTATCACAGTAAAAGAACTTGCATAACAGACAAAATCAGTTTTTAGAGCATGATCGTATTGTTCATCTTCAGTGTACAGGTCACATTTTATTTCAGTATCAAACTGTTGAGAGTGCAAGCAGTTGGAAATGATACCTGTAAACAATAGTTAAATTAGGAATAAATAATAAAGCTTTTTTAAGCATATTAGCATTGCAGTTGTCAATAAAATGATGTCATTCATTGTTTTAAAAGTGTCTTTAGTGATGTGCAAAATTAGAACATCTAAACATTCTGAAGCTCCTTAGAATCAATAATTGTTGATAAAATGAGTGTCATTGTTAGTCATTTTGAAAATATTTTTAGTGGTGATGATTTTATCAAAAGTGGCATGTATTAAGTAGTCTCCTTTATAAGCAAACTTTTCAGTTGCTTACTAACTGTAAAGTTTATTCAAAGTAAAATGAGATTTGCAAAGCTGTAAGTCAGGTTGTTAATACCATGAATCGGTGTTACTTAACTTACTCATTATGCTTCACTAATTATAAAGTGTATTGTTAGCTAACATTATTATTTATCAATATATTAAGTATTACAATAACTGAAAATGCCTTACACTACAGAACAGAAAATTTACATAATTTATAGAAAGTTACATAAAGAAAAAAGGATTAATGTATACCTAGGTAACTAAAATGACAGTGCTTAGGTTAGGTTAGGTCAGATTAAGTATATTTTTAGTAGACACTTCTTTTTTTCTTTTATTTTGTTCAAAAAGTACCATGAATCAATAACTAATGGTGTTAAACACTCGGCGGCCTGCCAGTGGCTCCCCTCTAGGGGGAATCGGTCAGGAGCACGGACAGTCAGAAGCGCCGTCATTTTAGTTACCTAGGTATGCATTAACCGAAAAAAGTTATCAAGCATTAAAATGATGATTTATACAAAAGTATCCTAAATTATCTCTATAAACATAAATCTTTATATGCAAACTTTTTAATATGTGACAATCCACAGTGCCTTTGTATAATATAAGAAACAATTATATAAATAATATAATTTTTATATTATATTATTTATATAATTATTTATATAAATAATTATATAAATTGCATAAATAAGAAAAATTTATCCAAGGAAAGTCTGAGACACTCGGATACAAAGTCCCACAAATCTTTAAATTGGTTCAGTAGAATAAACTGAATTATCTTATGATTTCATATGAAAATAATCAAATTTCAAGCCTTATAAAGCAAGAGTTGTTCATGAGCTTATTTATTTAGAGTTTAAAATTCTATCCCTTAAGTTTGTACTATTATAAATGTTTAAGATTTGTTTCTTGTGTCATATAGCATACAAGAATGCAACACAAGGGCAATTTGCTACACAGTAGAGCAGTGTTTTTCAACCTTCTTGAATACGCGACCCCTTTACAAGTTAAAAAATTCTGGCGACCCCCCTAGGGCCATATTAAAACTATATCAGTGATTTTAAAAACTATGTATTTAATTTTCTCTCTGTTGAGACAAATTATTGTTGATTAAAGTGAAAATTTCAGAAAAATTGACAATAACTTAACACACACAAAGTATGAAACTTCCGTTAATTATAACATTCGGCACAGGAAGATGATGACCTTTTTTTTTGTTTTGTTTTGTTTAGGATCAGAATTTTCAGCTTCTATGTTCCTACTTTTTATTTCTTTTTGCAAATCAGCTCAACACTTTTTCCGCTATCATTTTCTGGAGTGGACCATAATTCTCGCTGAAATTGTAGTTTTTTTAATGTAGTGTAAGACCTACAAACACTTGTCTTATTCTTTTACCCGCGACCCCACGTGTAAGGCTTTGCGACCCCCTTGGGGGTCGTAACCCACAGGTTGAAAAACACTGCAGTAGAGCATTGATTATCCAAATGTCAATCAACTGAAATGTCAGTTAACCGAAAGTTTTTCAGTCGGCAAATTTAAATTTTTGCTAGTGCTGTGGCACTGCAATCTTTGGCTATGTCTTGGGCTACTCCAATATTATTTTTGTTGGTGTGCATGTTTTAGCTGGCAGCACTGGTGCAACCATGAGAGGGTACTTAAGGATGTGCCAGGATTTGAACAAATTTCAACGATAGGTTAATATATTTTTTTGTACATAATCATTTATCCGAAAAATCGATTTTCCAAACAACCCCAATCCCCAATTGATTCAGATAATCAATGCTCTGCTATATTTGCTATTTGTAGGTCTCAGGCATAGTTCTTATTGTTTCTGATGGATAATAGATCTTACATAGAAACTTTTGTGTAATTTTATTTAAGTTTATCATAAAGGCAAGAGTAATATGAATTTTATAAGATATAAATATTTTTTATTTAAAAAAAGTCAGAAAATCTACAGCATACAAGGAGATCAAGTTCAAAATATTTGTGAATATATAAGTAAACTTAAATTTCATTATTAACACGTTTATGACATTATGAGGCACATGCGACTCATATGGACATATCTAGTTAGGGCTACAGACATAATTGCTTGTTTTTCCATGGGGCGGTGCATATATTTTGATAACATAATTCTACAAACATCATACTTGATATATCAATATTATTTTATTAGGTGCAATAAAGTATATTAATTTAATAGTACGAAGCACAGGTGACTCTTGCCACTCTGTATTAAAATAGACTACGAGTCACCCATACTCGTAACGCCTAGCAGCTGCCTAAACATTTATCTATTGGTGCCATGAATGTGTTAAGGGCATTCTTAGATAAATTAATGGTAACTCCAGTTACATAGAAATTACTAGATATTGAATATAAGTAAAGATGTAACAACAGGAACTTTGTATGGTTTTTTTGATAAAATTAATTACACGTTGAAAATTCTATTCATTAAATTTAATCCTTATTAATAAAAATAAAGGGGAGAAATGTTAATGAATGTGATTTGTTTCATTGAATTTAGGTGAAAGAAAATTCAAGAGGAACAAGTAAAGAGCCCACAGATTGCCCATTAATTTTTTATTTATTTGAAGTTTTATATATGCATAATTTGATTTATAATGAAAACTATTGCACATTACATAAATTAGATCAGCCTGAATCATTATATCATCGTCTAATTTTATTTATTTTTTTAGTGTAATCGTTTACTACAATGGTGTCCACAGCCAGAATGTAACAATACAATAAAAGTGCAATATGTTGATGCACAGCCTGTTACATGTACCTGTGGACATACATTCTGGTAAGTTTACTTTCATTTAATATTTAAAACAACATAAAATTAAGTATTAAAAAATTTTACATATAAACCTAATAGTAATATTTCAGATATATTAAATTTATAATTAATTATAATTATATTTGGAATAGAAAAAATTTTGTGAAGATAACAAAAAATAATAATGGAATCTGGATTAAATTTCTAACACTGTATATTTACTCTTTCTGCCTGAGGGTATTTAAGAAGGGCTCTTTAATTATACTCATTATGGATTTTACCAGGCTCGCAATAAAGATGGCTGGATGGTGAGGAATGGGTCCTGATATTTAGGATGAACTGCCCATGAAAAATTTCTGGGTTTTTCAACCACCATCCTCAGAATAATAGGTGGACTCTGACTGTCTTGGCTATCTGGATGTTGATTCATATATTATTAGATAACCTATTAGTTCTCATGAATCTTATTATTATTATTATTATTATATTATTATTATAAATGTTGCCAAGGGAATAAAAATATTACTGAAAAATTTTATTATATAATATATCAATAGTTTAAAGGATTAAATTCAAATTTCAGTCTTTTTATTACCTATGTAATTATACATAGGTAATAAAAAGACTGAAATTTTTCTCTCTTATTTAAAGTAATGTTCATTTAAGAACATTAAAATCAAGCTATTGAAGAAATGATAATTTTATGAGTTTGATTTGTCAAAACAGTTGCCTTTCATATTCCAGAATACATCACATGATAACTTTTCAAAAATTTAATTCATTAGAATTGTTCAGATATTGGCAAAAATTGAATTCCCTATTCATTTCACTAATTAGAGTGATAACTGAATATTAATTATGTTTCATTTTACTTATCAGCTTATCAGAACTTATTATTAGAGAGGAAAACACAGTTTGAAACTTATAAGTCTGTGTTTAAGCTAGAAAGCTTTGTTTTTTATATTTGAATTCTACACAAAGATATTTTAATCAGATTTGCTAATGTCTGTTATATAAACAGGTTAATAGAAATATCACTAAAATAAGTGTTAATAAAATTATAAAATTCCTTTAGTTTATAATAATTTAAAAAAGACTGAATATCTGAGACTTGTTAGGCAGTGAATGAACAGTATTATATTAAAACTTATTTTTATTTTACATAAATGTTAATAAATTTTAGAGTAACAAAAATTTAATATGATAAATGTTATTGAATTTCTAAGTGAGTTTAATTTGGACTATTATTTGCATCAAGTTAAAATTGATATATATATAGTTTGAAAACTGGTCACTGGGCTCAAGTTGAAAGTACATTTTGGAATTAATATTTAATGAGAAATAATAACTTCAATATGTTTAAATACAGCTGCCATTGTTCATTCCTACTCAAGCATCTTGATGATCTTAGATTCTTTGAAATTCATTATTGGTTGATAAGGTGTTGAAACTACATTATCTATACTACTGTGTGGAGGTTGCTCTGTAAAATTTTAAAAAATCAGCAACCATTTTGCCAGTTTAAAATTTTTTTGGTACTTCAAATTATTATTGTCTCCAGTTTTACTTACTAATTAATGCAGGTGTTGATAGCCTTATCAGTTTGGAATCTGGAAAGCAAAAGTAAACTTGGAAATAAGATTATTTTTGAATAATAGGAACTGTGACTTAGAAATAGAAATTATTTTTGAATAATATTTTAATGATTAACTTCAAATAACACATTTAATCACAATACTTAAACAGTATTTCACATGCTCTGTCTTGTCAAAATTTTTTTGCTTAGTTTACTGAAAAAAATGAAAAAAGTCATCCCAAAATATTTTCCAATACTGTCAGTTGATAAAAAAAACACCCATTCTGGAAACAGTGAGCATCATTACTTGAAAAGTGCCTTTGGTTCTCAACATCACTTCCTGCTTTCCTATTTGAACTTTCCACATGACAACATGACATCACTAAGGGTCTAGTGCACAGGATTCCCATTACACAGGTGCTCAACATTCTGCTGTTTTTACTGATGTGTGCTTTGTGATTCAGTTTCATGCTAAACGTTGAAATAAATGGACTATGGTTTTTATTACCACTTTAATAAAAATATTGCCAAGTGGCAATTTTAGTGCTATACAATGCACCTGACTGTGTATATGGTATTTTTACATATAACATACTGTTTGCATTTCTCAGAATAAACAACTGTTGTTTATTGTGTATATATTGCATATCTCCTTGCAAGTTGTTCTCAGTTCATTATTTAGTTACATAGTATATTCTGAATTATAACTTGCAAAGAATTAAAAAAATTTTTGGCAAATTATGTATTAGATAGATCTTTATCTTGAACATTATATATGTTAACCTTAATGTTACTGACAAGACTATGTCTTGTTTATAAAATTGTACTGCTGGTTTATGTTACCAGCTTAGAGGTATGAAGGAGTACATGCTAAGAGTTGATATTTGGCACAGAGTATTAGTTGCCCAAATCATTTGCGTATAAAAATATCCAGACTTGTAGGTAGTCGGAGGACTGAGAACCGAGTCAAAATAAAATACAAAATGGCGACCCTCTTCTACAAATAGGCAAAACAGCCACCTCACCCCATCGAATTCAGATAGGGGAGAGTACACCCACAGTCATTCTAAGAAGTGAACTCTGACCTTAGGACTGAACACGTAATTTCTTCTATGTTAAATAAAATTTGTAATTTAATTTTGTAAATTTGTGAGTGCTTCAAATATGGCATTAAAACAGGGTGTTGTCACAAGTAGGTTTTTTAACATTATCTAGTATAGTAAAATTGTGGGACCGATAAAAATTTGACGTTATATTAGGGTTGTTGTTACACCCGATGACATTATAATCGGGTTAAACTGTATATTGTTTGTGCAAAATAAAAAAATAATTTTGGACAATACAATAGCTACAATTATTTTTTCAAAAATGGGAAATTTTTGTTATGCATCAACAAAAATTCAACTTGGGCCGACACACAATGGAAAGAAATTTTGAAATTGAATAGGTTAATTTCATCAAAAATACATCGTGGACGACCTTGTGGTTGTGGCCGGCAAAGTTTGAATGATCGCGCTCAAAAGCAGCGATACCAAAGAAGATTGGAGAAAGAGAACAAGACCCGTCTTGAGTGTCAAAGTGATTTGGCTTAGTAGTGAGTCTTTGAGACATAGTCTTGCCCCAAATATGGTTTTGCCATTTTACTTGTTTAATAATGAAACAAGTTAGCTGGATATATTTTCTATACAAATCATTGTAGAAAACAAGTAAAAGAAATTGCTTTAAAATGCTAGACTCATCTTTAAAATGTTTCTTTTTAACAACTGTACTATTGTATTTGACACTTTCTAAATTATAGATGTGAATAAGTAATATTTATTTTACAAGACATAAACATATCATATTCATATAACAAATATGATACTAGGTAGCGATCTTGTTTACAATATATTTCAATGTATATGAATTTTCACAAAAAGAATTTGTGAAAATCCAAATATTTTTTAAATATTTGAAATTTAATAATTTTTAATGAAATGTAATTATATTTTCAAATATTTCAAATACATTTTGCAATATTTCCAACAGATTCTCTAGTTTCATTTCCAGATGTTTGAAACAGTATTTTTCCAGCAACATTAGTAATTGTTTCTGTAAATAATGAAATGATTTCTGCTAGAAATAATCAGAATGATGGGGATGATTTCAAGTGTAAACTATTTCCCTGTTTATAAGTGACAGAATTGTAAATGATTGATTTTTATTGTAAATGGGTAATGGTTTATAATTTAATTATTGCCATAATTGCTTAAATATTAAGCAAGCATTCCAAAGAAAGGTTTTAATGATGAGATTGCATTGGAGTAGATACACAAAAATAATATATTCATCTAATACGCAAAATTAAAAAACTAATATAAATAAATAGCAATAATATTTATTTAAAAAGTCAAAACAAAAAAAGCTTTATAGCTTATTTTTGCTTTGACTTTATTTAAAGATGACACACACACACACACACACACACACACACACACACACACACACACACACACAAAACACTGACTGATCAAAACGTCAGAGAACTTAGTAATAGCATATCAATATGCTGAGCATGCTAAGGCATTAACTCTGCCAGATGTTGGGGGTTTGCTGAAGATTTTGCAAGCCATACTTGTTTTACCATTATTTGCAATTTTGCCATTCTGTAGACATTGGTGTCAGTTTTATGGATCTGAGATGTCTCTTAACAGCATCTCAGAAATTTAATTGGACTTAAAACTGGGGACTTCAGAAGGCACTGGAAGGTATGGAACTCCAATGAGTGTTCTTGGGCCATGCTTAGGTGGTAATGGCCCAGAGAGGCTTAGCATTGTTCTGCTGAAATGCACATTTCCTTGAAGATTTATGAAGGTCATGAAAGGGAGTAAATGATGATCTAGCACATTCTAGTAGCTTGCAGCATTTAAGGACTTCTCTATACAAACTAAGGGACCTAATTAGTCTCATGAGAAAGCTCCTCTCATCATCACAGCCACTGCCACCACCTTGAACAGAAACAACCTGACAGAATGGGTCCATGTCTTTGTATTGTTGATGCCATACTCACATCCTTCTGTTAACCCAGTGCAGCTGGAAATAGGATTCACTAGAGTACAGTGATACCCTGAACTTACGCGATAGGTGGGACCGAGCGATAACTGTGTAAGTCTAATTCACGTAAGTCGGGGTATAATTTTGCAATTTATGTAAAATCCAAGTCTGATGTATGTAAGCTAATAAATGTTCTCGTTAATCTTATCTCGTCTTTTGATTCGTTCACGGTTACAAGAAATCACCACATAGTCTCTCAAGTCTCTGTAGATATAACAAACACAGAAATAAATAACAAAATAAATTGTAGCTATGTGTCAATTCTGCGCGACACGCTGTTTGCTGAGCCTGGTAGACTCTTGATATGGTTGTTTTTGAGAACCCTAGGGTCATTCAATCTTTAAGTAGCAACAATCCAAATGTCTTATGTCAAGATTGCATTTGTGATCAGAGTCATTAATTTACCCATTTTATCAATTGTGATACATTGTTGATAAGGCTAGTTGTTCACTTTTTTATATTCTGAGTTTGGTTTAGGTATATATGCTGGAGGGGTACGAGCATAATTTCACATTACTACTACTGTCTTTAATGTTTTGATCAGTCAGTGTATATAAGTATTTGAGATATTCAAAAGCCAGCAAGTTTTATGATAGATGCAATCCAAAGTAGATTAAACTTTCTTGAATGTTTTAAATTTTTTCATAACAGACATTAACAACAATCTTGCAAACTTTTAAAGTTTATTATCTATCGTATTTTGAAAGACAGTTCTAAATGTGAAAGACATTCATTGGGAATATACAGTCAATATTAATGTCAAAATTGTAATGATTATTTCTAAAATAACAGAAATTTTTAAATAATAATAATAATTTATAATTAATTAATTGTAATTAATATTATTAAAAAATAAAACACAGATGGTTAATAAAAGGTAAAATTATAAAATTTAGCTAAGATGTACGGTACAGTACATACCTAACAATAACTCAAAAATTAGTGATTAATATTCTTAATAAATATTTAACTTAAAATTATTTTTAAAAAATGAAAATTAAGTTTATCTACATTAAGAGATTAAATTCATTTGATTGTAGAATTTATTCTGAATAAGTGTTTAATCTAGTCCAACGGTGGGCAACCCCCGGCCCGCGGGCCAACTACGGCCTGCGAAAAGTTTTTATCCGGCCCGCAAGATCTTTAGAAGAAATTATAAATATTTTTCGATATAATTCATCTAGTTTAAATTGAATATTAATCTCTTAAAGCATTGTTCCCGAAAATTTTCGTGTTGACCTCATTGACCTAAGTGAGCGACCCCGAATATTTTTGTGTCTGCATCGGAACGTTTTTATACTAGATGTCACTATGCGTCATAATTTTTATATTAAAACGAACTTTTAAAATATAATTTTTTTTGTTTTATATTTTTCAATATATTTATTTTGTTTGTGCAACATAAAAAAATAATTTTTAACGACACAGTAAACATGATTATTATTTATAAAAAAAATTTTGTCGATGTTAACATCGATGAAAATTCAACAAGGCGTCGCAGGGAGTTGAATTACATCAGTTAGGTTAAACGCATGTAGCAACATATATGTTCATAATTTAGTACTAATGTTAAAACTAACATCCATTAAAGCATCTTTTCCTTCAAATGTCTCCACTCATAACTGTTTTTGTTGCGCAGTATATTCGTATTCTATCTGTGTATGATCAAAGTCAAATATCTAATGTTGTAATTTGTGGTAACTGAGTGAGTTGTAACTGGATTTTAAAAACAACTATTTATTTGAAATTGGAATTAATTTATTTAAAGGTAATAACAAAAAATACTTTAATAATTTTAATAACAATATTTATAAATATTTATTCAGTTTTTAGAGCCATTGGCATCAAACAACAGTATGAAAAGAAAAGTTGATTCTGAAAACAGATCTTTTCAAGATAAATGGACATTGCAATATTTTTTTACGGAACATAATGGAAAACCTTTATGTTTAATTTGCAATGAAACTATCGCTGTAAAAAAAGAATTTAATATAAAAAGACACTACCAAATGAAACATGCAAGTTATGACAGATATCAAGGTACCGAAAGAGTAAAGAAAGTTGAGAACTTAGAAAATTTTTTGAAATGTCAACAAAATATCATTGTGAGTGTTAACAAAGAAAATAAAAATAATACTAAAGCTAGTTATATTGTTGCTTTACAAATAGCAAAAAATTTAAAACCGTATTCGGATGGAGAATTTATTAAAGAATGTATATCTGAAGTTGTTGGATTACTCATACCAGAAAAGAAGACAATTATCGATTCAATTTCTTTATCGCGCCGAACTATAACGCGGTGTATTGATGATTTATTGATGAATGTGGAGAATACATTGAAATTTCAAATATTGCAGCTTGAATATTATTCATTAGCTATAGATGAGAGCACTGATATTACTGATCTGGCTCAATTGTCAATATTTATTCGAGGAGTTGATTCAAATATGAATGTTTGTGAAGAACTTTTGTCGATAAATACAATAAAAAGTACGACTACCGGAGCAGACATTTTCGAACAAGTAGAAATTTCAATGCAAAAGTTTAATCTACAGTCGACCCCCCTATAAGATAGAGATACGTTCCATTCTCTAGGAATCCGCTTTCTTACGAATCCTTCCAATCACAACCCGACACGTATCAAGTTTACGGACTACGGCTGTTTGAAAGATTTTCTTCCATAAAATTAATCGATTCTAGACTAATCCGACTCAACATTTCCAAAATACGTATATATTTTTTGGGAATAATCCGTATAAACTACGCTATAAACAAAAAATTGTAGGATTACTTACCGAGTGTCACCATTCGACATTGCCATTGCTCAACATTGTTTTCGTCGCGGAACAGCTCAGCAAAGAGCGGCCGATTTCTAACAACTTATTTTTCTGTGAAAACTTCGTAGAACTTCGGAGACATCATTAATATAAATAATTTTAATCGCCGTTGAATAAGAAATGTTTCTTTCACAAGAAATGTATAAAATTACAGTACTGTATTAGACTTACGGTACCTAATTTACATACTGACAGACGATAGTTAGCGTAAAAATCTCCGTAGCGTGGCGCCACGCTAGACGGCGGAAATTATATATTTAATTATAACAAAGTTACAATAAGTTAATATATAATTATATATACAGTACCTAATTTATATATAATTAATATATAATTATATGTACAGTACCTAATTTATATATAATTTATATAATACTGTCCAGACGATAGAAATCTCTCCGTAGCGTGGCGCTACGGACGGCGGGAAAGTAGTTCGGCTTCCCGATGACGTTTGAGGTGTTTATAGGGAACTTTTACTATTTTTTACGGATACCGGTAGCAATTTTTTCGTAGTTTTATAGGAATCGTAACTATAGGGACCGTAATTATAGGGGGGTCGACTGTATTACTAAAAAAAATTATCTGGATTAACAACAGATGGTGCGGCAGCAATGATAGGAAAAAATAAAGGAGTCATTTCCTTATTTAAACAAAAAATGGGAGAAGAGAATTTTTCTAAATTATTTATATCTCATTGCATCATCCATCAAGAAAATCTATGTGCAAAAGCTATGCAATTAGAAAATGTAATGTCTGTCGTATCCAACTGCATAAACACAATTAAAAAATCAGCACTAAGTCTTCGAGAATTGCTAATTGATCTTGAAAGTGAATATACAGATGTTCAACATTATTGCCCAGTTTGTTGGCTCTCGAGAGCAACCGTATTAAAAAAAATTTTATAATTTGAAACATGAAATTAAGCTATTTATGGATATGAAAGGAATTCCCATTGAAGTATTAAATGATGAGAAATGGTTGTCAGACCTGGCATTCTTTGTCGATATTACAGGACACCTGAATGTTTTAAATGAAGCCCTACAAAAGCAAAATCAAAATGTGACACAATTATATGGACATATTAAAGCTTTCAAAAGTAAACTCAATTTGTGGCAATCCCATATAGAGAAAAATAATCTTTTTCATTTTCCAACATTATCTAACTATTGTGGGAAATATAATCCTCAATTTTTCGTAAAAAAAATCAAAGAACTTTATTCAGAATTTGATCGACGTTTTCAAGATTTCGACAAGAAAAATATTTATTTTCAATTATTTAACTCGCCCTTTTCCATCACTGAAATCAAAACTGTTCCAGAAAAATTTCAAATGGAGTTATTGGATCTGAAAGAGAGGGTAAGTTTAAGAGAAAATTTTAATTTTACACCTGTCCATGAGTTTTATAAAAATCTGTCGGCTGAAGAATTTCCAAATTTAGTTGATAATGCAAAGTATATCTACTCTTTATTTGGCTCAACATATCGATGTGAACAACTGTTCTCCAAGATGAAGTACTTGAAATCGAAGTACAGAACCAAAATAACTGATACGCATTTGGAAAACAACTTGCGTTTAAGCACCACACAAATTGAACCAGATATTGAAATGCTGACAAAATCTCTGCAGCACCAGATGTCACATTAAATAAATACTTTTTTCACTTATCCATGTATATTTACTTTTTATGATTAATAGTTATTTTTCCAATTTTTTGTAATTTTTCGAAAATAATAAGAGAAATAAATGTAGTAATTAACTTCTTTTTTTATTTATTTCATATTTGAAGAAAAAATTACAGGTCACAAGAAGTCGTCAATTAAATACTACAGCCCGCGGAAAAACGTAAAGTTTATTCTGGCTCATGTTATAAAAAAGGTTGCCCACCCTTGATCTAGTCAGTTATCAAAAATTAAATATTTTATATTTAATTCTTAAATTTTAATAATAATTAATTTATTGAGAAAAAATGTTCTTGCATTTTTTTGTTTTAGTTTGGTTACAATAAATTATTTGTTCCAGAGACTTAAAAATTATCATTGTATTTGAATTAAAAACTAGAGATGTTCTATATTCTAACTATAATGGTTAATAGAATAAAAAAAATATAAGTTATTGATACTTTGTTTTTGTAATTTATTTGTAGATCTACATTATTAAAATCAACACTTTTAGAATAAAGCTATTAGACAAAACCATTATTGATAATTTTATGCATTGATGAACATGAATATAATATCACAATTTAAGTCTCTGGCTTGGCACATCAATATTAAAAAAGATTAGCAGAATATTAATTTTAAAATATTTTTTATTAGTTTTTCTTGTGGTGAAAATTGGCATGATCCAGTTAGGTGTCATTTACTGAAAAAATGGCAAAAAAAGTGTGATGATGACAGTGAGACATCAAACTGGATTGCAGCTAATACTAAGGTAAGGTTTTTGTCTTTTTATGAGTATGAGAATATCAGTTTTTAATTGTTTTAATAAACTTATTAAAATGGACCTATAAATTGAAATAAAAAAAATAAAAAGTATTTACTTATTTACTTCAAATACTAAATTATATATTTATAATTTAGATAGAAAAAACAGCATAATTTTTTAAGATATAGCAGCATTATTATGAAATATTCTGGTATTAAAACAATGATATCAAATTTCTTATAGAAAAAAATTTTAATATAAAAGTGAGGGATTGCATATTTCTGAAATATTTTTACATGTCTAGTAAAATTTTATATTTTTTAATCAGAAATGTATAACTTAAGTAACTTCATTTATTCAAATATAGATGATATAAGTATTTCTCATATACCCAATAATTACTAATTAATTATTGGATATATGAAAATAAGCATTTATATCCAATTCATACATTTTTTTCAAAGAAAGCTGTATTCTTCAAAGAACTTGAAATGTATAATGTCATTCTATTTAACAAAAACTGCTTATTTTAATTATCTTATTTAATTGAAGGACCATTATTAGTAATCATATTAGGGTCAAATTAAAATAATAATAAAAATAATTGATAGACAGAAAAGAATTTGCTTGAATCATTAATATATACATATACACATTGTCATTTTAAAGATACTTTAATTAGAAAAATCAGTTACATTAATTTTTTTTAATAAATTTTTTACAGTAATACTCTGGGTTATGTAACAAGTGACTTACATAAATTTGCAGTTACATAAAATGTAAATCTCAAAAATTGGAAAAAATCTGAGTAGAGTAACAAACTTGTAATTTTACAAAGAATTGTTCTATTTCAAACATTTATTTATTCATTAGTTTTCTCTTTCTCTCTCTCTCTCTCTCTCTCCTTTTCTTTCTTTTGCACTGTACTGATTTATTACTATTGCTCTGCTAATCCTTCACTTTTTGGTCTAATTGTAAGCAACTATGCAAGTGTAATAGTGACTCTTTTTCATAAACAAGAATCTTCTACAGTACTCAGTGAAGGTCAAGCAGTGAAACCAAGCACATCTTCATTGCTTGTTTTTCTATATGTATTGATTCATGTCATTAGTGTAGTTTGCTTCGAGTGATTTGTTTAATACATAACTTGTTTACCACTGCTACATTTACATAGTGTTAATTGTTTATTTACAATACTGTATCATTAAAATGCAATCGAAACAACAAACCAAATTCGTTGGTAATAAACCAAAAAAAAAAAAAAACAAGGGTCTGCAATTACTTGAAAGAAAAATTAAATATTATTCTTATGTATGAAGACAATAATAACAATATCTGGGGAAATGAATAGATTTAATATTTCAGATTAATTTTGTTTCTTTGTTTTGTTTATATATATATATATATATATATANAATAAATTATTTGTTCCAGAGACTTAAAAATTATCATTGTATTTGAATTAAAAACTAGAGATGTTCTATATTCTAACTATAATGGTTAATAGAATAAAAAAAATATAAGTTATTGATACTTTGTTTTTGTAATTTATTTGTAGATCTACATTATTAAAATCAACACTTTTAGAATAAAGCTATTAGACAAAACCATTATTGATAATTTTATGCATTGATGAACATGAATATAATATCACAATTTAAGTCTCTGGCTTGGCACATCAATATTAAAAAAGATTAGCAGAATATTAATTTTAAAATATTTTTTATTAGTTTTTCTTGTGGTGAAAATTGGCATGATCCAGTTAGGTGTCATTTACTGAAAAAATGGCAAAAAAAGTGTGATGATGACAGTGAGACATCAAACTGGATTGCAGCTAATACTAAGGTAAGGTTTTTGTCTTTTTATGAGTATGAGAATATCAGTTTTTAATTGTTTTAATTTTTTTTTAAAAACATTATTTCTATTACTGAAACTGCATTTACTTGACTTCTGTCTTCTATTAAAAATTCATTTTATACCACATTAATGATCTTCATCTTTGCTTATACTCATCCAAAAAAACCTACATAACTGTTGATATTGCTATAAATTGATAAGTTTTTGAATTATGCCTATGTAGCTGCATTCAAAAATTTATTATTATTATTATTATATTATTATAATTATTATTATTATTTCTCTCTCCAATGCAACATTGCAGTTTTCCATGGAATTTTAATGTTACCAGTTTAATAGCAGCATAATCCATAATTGTAAATCTGTTAGAAAAAGTAATCTGCATATGCCATATGGATATATACGTATATAGCCTTTAATTCCAATATATCAGTTCATTTATTTAAATGACAGTTTCCACATTGATAAGACTATTAGATTTTTTAAAATTAAAATTGATGATTTTAACTTTTTAGATTTTTCATTGTATTGTGAAATACAACAGGGCTCTGTTCTAAACAATCTGTTTATCATTGCCTGCATTAATTCTATTTATAGATAACCTGCAATCCAAAATTCTTGTGTGTACTGATGATATTAAGCTGATTGATTGGACAATTGCTAAAAATTGATATAACTGTTCTTTCTAACAGATTATCAAAACTTAATTTTATCATTCATAAATATTAATTAATAAAAATATTGCAATGTGTTTTTCTTATATTTGTACAGTACTTCCTAATTACTTGAGTTTAAGATTAATAACACAGTTGTTTATTTTCTTCAGTCTGTAATATTTATGATAAAATCACCTTTAAATATCATTTAGAAAAATTTATTACATATCACAGTGGGGTGGCTATGCAGACTGTTTCTTTAAAAAGTATACTTAGATCATACCGTTTTTTTTTTTTTTTTTTTTCATTTTTAATCTCATCTTTTGAAATGATCGTAAGTCACTCCTTATTTAATTCAGTAAACTGATAATTCCCTTCATGGAATATATATTTTAATTAATAATCCTTTTGTAAACTGATTCTGGAGTACAGCTAGATTATGAGTTGGACTCTTATACTTTTACCTTAGAATTGTTTAATTCAACTCTGTTTTATTTTTTAAATATTATCATGGCATTGTTTCATCTGATAATGTTGCTCTCCGTGTATCACTCTATTAAACTTGAAATATGTTCTGTTTATATAAATCATCATGTCATCTTGCTATTTCCCATTGCTCATTTTTTGTTGTGCTGTTGAAAACAAAAAATACTGAAGACTACTACTACAAAATTTCTTATGTTTATAAAATAAAAAAACTGTGTTGATTTCAATGAACAATAAAACACAGAAAATAAAACAATTATTTTTTGTAATTTTATTGTTCTTGTTATTGTTTTATTTTTTGTACTAATTTTTTTAACATATTGTCAGTTTTATCATATTCAAATAATTCTTCAATTTGATCTTTGTTTCTTCACTCTGTAATAAATAACATATTGTCAGTTTTATCCCTCTATAAATAAATTGAAGATAAAAGTAATAATAAAATTTACTTTTTAAATTTAATTTGATTAGGTACCAGCCCACACAAACAGTATCTGGAAGGTTAGTAACATATTGGTGATAAATACTCAGTAACAATAATAACTTAGTTAATAATTATTAGCCTAATTGTAAAATTATGAAAATTTTAATAATGATAAAATAAAGAACTTAATATGTGTTCATTTTAAAAATATTGTTCCATAATTGATTGTCATCTTCTCCATTTATACACTGAGCTGTCAAATTTAAATGTCTAAATTGTTTTAATTCTATACAGCTCAACAGAAGATGAGATAATGTGTACCGTCCCTTAGATCATCTTGGACCTGATTTGTTAATAAAGAGATCAAAGTCTTTTCAGTTAAAACAAAATTTATTTAAATACAACTGAAAAATACTTTTTTAAATTATCATTAATTTTTTTTTTAAAACATTNAATCCCCTTTAAACGACAATCAGTAAAAGAATTATTTTTATTGATAGGAATGTCCAAAATGCAATGTTACAATAGAGAAAGATGGTGGCTGTAATCATATGGTATGCAAGAATCAGAATTGTAAAGCAGATTTTTGTTGGGTTTGCTTAGGACCTTGGGAACCCCATGGCTCTTCTTGGTATGTCATTTACTATAGAATGATTATAAAACATTAGTTTTTAAACTGTTATTTAAGTTTTAAAAAAATAATCAACATATTTACAAATATTTAAAATGAATATGTATCAGTGATACCTAATATTAAGATTGCAAACTAATAGTTTCAATACAAAAACTGAAATGTGTTTTATATTCTGCTAAGATATGAAAACATTTTGATGATCATTCTAAATTTGAATATAGTAAGCTAATCAGGAAAGCTTTTTATCTGAAGAAGGATGCAAGAATTATTCAAAAAATTTGTTTTATAAAGTTTTTAATATATATTTCTAATTTAATTTCCAATTTAAAAATTTCAAAATATCTTTTAAAAATTTATTGATTATTTTAAGTTATGTTTTAAATGAGTTTGGTATAAATTAATCATTTAATTTTTTTTTTTACAAAATTATATTTCATTGTTTAACGATGAGAAGAAAGAGCCCTGTAAAAACAGTTTAAAATTTACTTTTTAAATTTAATTTGATTAGGTACCAGCCCACACAAACAGTATCTGGAAGGTTAGTAACATATTGGTGATAAATACTCAGTAACAATAATAACTTAGTTAATAATTATTAGCCTAATTGTAAAATTATGAAAATTTTAATAATGATAAAATAAAGAACTTAATATGTGTTCATTTTAAAAATATTGTTCCATAATTGATTGTCATCTTCTCCATTTATACACTGAGCTGTCAAATTTAAATGTCTAAATTGTTTTAATTCTATACAGCTCAACAGAAGATGAGATAATGTGTACCGTCCCTTAGATCATCTTGGACCTGATTTGTTAATAAAGAGATCAAAGTCTTTTCAGTTAAAACAAAATTTATTTAAATACAACTGAAAAATACTTTTTTAAATTATCATTAATTTTTTTTTTAAAAACATTATTTCTATTACTGAAACTGCATTTACTTGACTTCTGTCTTCTATTAAAAATTCATTTTATACCACATTAATGATCTTCATCTTTGCTTATACTCATCCAAAAAAACCTACATAACTGTTGATATTGCTATAAATTGATAAGTTTTTGAATTATGCCTATGTAGCTGCATTCAAAAATTTATTATTATTATTATTATTCTATTATAATCTATTAACTATACTTACCTCATCAAAAAAGGCCTGAGTCTTACGTAAAATATGCTTTAATTCAGTCAATTCTAAATATGTTTTCTTAAGTGCTTCTGCATTAGTATTAACTTCTTTTAATTCATTTTCTAATTTTTCAAATTTTGCCTATTTCATAAAAAGGAAAATTATCATTATTAGTCATTTAAAAAACAAAAATATTAAAAAATAAAACTTACTTCCATATCTATCATCTCTCTTGGCTGTGGTGCCTCTGGATTATCACCAATATCAAACATAGGTATTCCATCTTTCTTAATTTCTTTTTCAAGGAATCCTATTATTATAAAATCTTATATATTATAAAGATATTGCAGTATTTAAACAATCTAAATATATAAAATTGCTTGTCCTGACTGACTGAATGACTCACTCATTCACTCACTGATTCATCATCGCCCAGAGCAGACCGCTTAACCTAAAGAGGTGAAATTTGGTAGACAGTTAGGGTATGTCATGTGTAAAGTAGTAACCTTTTAGCACAGCGGGGACAAAGGGGGTACGGCTTTGTTAATTGTACCCACCTGCAGTGAGACGGTAGTACAATTGTCATATTGTAAACGAACGAACGTAAACAAGTGGCGGACGTTTGTGTGAGCTGCACTCTCGTCGGATGACGGCGGACCCGAGTGTAAGCTGTTCGGGCAAAGAAAAGGGATTGTGATTGGTCGGAAGTCCCCGTCCANTATACTTAGATCATAGCATTTTTTTTTTTTTTTTTTTTTTTTCATTTTTAATCTCATCTTTTGAAATGATCGTAAGTCACTCCTTATTTAATTCAGTAAACTGATAATTCCCTTCATGGAATATATATTTTAATTAATAATCCTTTTGTAAACTGATTCTGGAGTACAGCTAGATTATGAGTTGGACTCTTATACTTTTACCTTAGAATTGTTTAATTCAACTCTGTTTTATTTTTTAAATATTATCATGGCATTGTTTCATCTGATAATGTTGCTCTCCATGTATCACTCTATTAAACTTGAAATATGTTCTGTTTATATAAATCATCATGTCATCTTGCTATTTCCCATTGCTCATTTTTTGTTGTGCTGTTGAAAACAAAAAATACTGAAGACTACTACTACAAAATTTCTTATGTTTATAAAATAAAAAAACTGTGTTGATTTCAATGAACAATAAAACACAGAAAATAAAACAATTATTTTTTGTAATTTTATTGTTCTTGTTATTGTTTTATTTTTTGTACTAATTTTTTTAACATATTGTCAGTTTTATCATATTCAAATAATTCTTCAATTTGATCTTTGTTTCTTCACTCTGTAATAAATAACATATTGTCAGTTTTATCATATTTATATTTTATCTTTTTAATTTATACTAATTTATTCTTATTTTTAATTTTTAATGTGGTTTATTATTATTATATATGGGGAGGTTTTCCTTACCTTATGTTATTGCCTGTATTGTGCAAATAAATGAATAAATTCAATCAATTTAATCAATAATCTAAATCCACCTCAGCAGAACAATTCAAAATAAATCTATAAACACCTTTTTGGGCTGTTGGGTCTAATATGATTGTAAAATGAGCCCCAAGTATGAATCGAATTTTAAGAAATGATAAGGATAGATTAGAAACAGAAGAAATGGCAGGTGTGTACAGATGCCATATGAAAGCATGCAGTTGGTGATAGACAAGGATTACATCAGTGTCACCACAAGGAACTTGAAAATTGTATTGATGTTCTTTAAGTCTAATGTAAGAAAAAATTCAATAACACAGGATGGTGCAGACTGAGGGCTCAGTGATATAATGGGAAGAGGCAGATATCATTAAGTTTGTACACTCCCCTACATTGGCAAAGAACACTAAAAAAATTGAAATATACAAAAGCAGGTTGAAAGATAAGTGCATTAATTCAAGAAATGCTGACAGCCTAGCAACAGCATGGAAATATATTGTATAAAATAAACTTGTTAGAAGATAATAATTCTCTCATTTCTACTATATGTTTTTGAGTTATTTTACATTTTATTATTATTTCCTATTTATATTAATTTTTTAGTTATTTTTGCTTTATATTCAATTATTTAAACATTGTTATTGTTTTATTATATTCTATTTTGGAACAATATTTAATGGTAAAATATGTTCCAAGAAAGATTGTAGCCTGAAGATGGTCTGTTAAGACTAGGTTGAAACGTTTGATAAATAAAAGTGAATCCCAGCAGCCAAAAAGATGTTTATAGATTTATTTAAAATGAACTGCGGCTGTAAGAGCTAGAGACATTGATTCAGTTGATGATAAAGATATGAATACCTAGGATGAAAATTGGATCAAATGATTCATTATCTCACATTATCTAAAACAATTGTTCACATCTCTGAAGAATACTATTATGATGATAATTTACCTGTTTACTCTTCAGACATTTGTATAGAAAAGCCAATTTTCTGCAGCTGCCATCAAAATGTTATGTGAGGTTTCATGGATTGTATGCAGTGGTTTTCAATAAAAGTGAAGACTACATACCAATATAAAATAGTTTAATTTGTTTTGAATATAATTTATCAATTTGCTGTCTTCTCACTCACTCACATTTTTCAGAAAGCAAAATGGAAGTAACATGCCAATGAATATAAAATCTCTTGTTTTGGTAATATATCAAAGGAAAAAAACAATAGGCTTCACATAGATATTTTTAGGTTATGCAAGCAAAATTATCACAATGGAAAACTAAGCACACCAATTATAAAATCAGGTTATATAATTAATAAAATATAAATTAAAGCTTAAAAAAATTACAGGCAAAAACTTATGATTTTTCTAATAAAGTTAAAATAGATTTCATTTGCATTTCCATTAAGCTATCTTCAAGAAGTTGTAAAGAAACAATGACTAGAAAAGTGATTTGTAAAATATTAACACAATAAAGCTATATGCATAAACATAACATTGATGAATCAAATACTATATTTTGAATTAAATATCAGATTTGAAATATAATAATTTTCATTTGTTTGATAAATTGATTTTTTATATTATAATCATCTATAATACCTAACACTAACAAGTCTTAAAGGAATTAGTTTATTATTTGAATGTTATAATAGAACATTTTCAAGACTATTTGTTTCACCATCTATTCCAATCTTAATAATAGCAATGAGAAATCAAACTTAAAATATAGAACAATTACCATTAGAATGACAAAAATAACTTAAAATAATTTCTAAACATTCCAATTGCAATATTTCAAAACCCTTACGAATTGCAGAAAATCTAGTTATTATCACCAATATGAAAATTTTTTAAACAAATAAAAAAAATAGAAATTAAAGAAACAGAAATGGTTTGGACATTAACAAAGTCAATAGCACAGAACAGGAAGCAATAGTACAAACTTGCATTGATGAAACAAAGATCACTTAAATGCAGGTTAAACAAATATGCACTTGTGTTTGTCTTTCTATTAATTTAGTAATTAGGTTGTTAATATAGATGTTGTATTATGATTTATTTCTATTTTTGTTGTTTCATTTAACAATTTTAATATTTAAAGAATGATAATTATGTTTGAATTATTTTTTTAACATAAAATTATCATTTTTTAATAATTTTCTTATTCTATACCAATAATGTTGATTGTTAGGTTTTTTTTTAAACTCATCTTGTGATTGGAATGTTCAGAAATTATTTAAAATTATTTTTATTTTTCAAATTATTGTTGTTCTAATGATAGTTGTTTGTGTTATTTTTGATTTGTTTGTGTCAATATTAAGATTGGATCTGATAATGAGACATAGTCTAAAAAAAAAACACTATTATTTGAATATTTGATGATAAATTGGCTCCTTATACTTATTAGTGTTGTGAACTATTGATGATATAAAACAGAATTGCTTGTCAACAAAAAATTTAGAACTTCTTTAACATTTATTTATTAGCAAACATAAATGTATTTTCATTGATAAAATTAATGTTTAGGCTTATGCTAACTATTATGACATCAATTTACAAGTTCAAAGATGGGATTCTCCATCTTATACTATGTCATCTATGTGTTTCACTTAGCTTATGTATTAAACTTAGCTTGGCATCAAGAAATTTAAAAGCTTTGATGATGGATTTTGTTTAAACAAGACCTTTTCAATATTTTTAGTAAATTAACTGTAATTTAAAAAAAAACTCATATCAAAGAACTTAATGATGGAAGTGGCTGAGGATTTTCAACTAAAAAAGAAAATTTTACCAACAAGTGATATAGATACAGAATGAAATTTCATTTTTGTTCGTTAATAGTTAATAAAAAAAAAAAAATTGAATCTTGGAACCTATCCTTTTATTTCTCAAAATTTTTTTGTTAGTTGCAATTTACATAATTTTGATTTGATACAGAACCAATCTCCCATGAAAATCAAAGGCACATTTCTTTTTCTAATGCTGAAAATTTCAATATATATAATTAAATACATAATCTCAGAAATGCATACTAAGTTGGATATTTGACTAATATTTAAAATCTGGGTGCATTAGAGGATGGAAATATTTTTGCTGCTCAAAATGATTAATAAAATAACTTTTTCTTAAAGGTGCATATAGATTTTTTATAAATATTAAAATATTTCATAATTAAGCATTTAATCATATGAGACTTTTCATAAGTAATAGTTTGAATCTGTATTATTTATAGGTATAATTGTAATCGCTATGATGAAGAAGAAGCAAAGGCTGCAAGAGATGCACAAGAAAGATCACGTGCTGCTCTTCAAAGATATTTATTCTACTGCAATCGTTACATGAATCACATGCAAAGTTTAAAGTTTGAGAATAAAGTGAGAATTTTTTATGATTTATAAACTATATAATGCTTATCAAAGTTATTTTTGATATTTCTATTAACATCATAAGTATATTATAAAATGCTTAACTAATATACCCAATGTGTCCTACCCTATATACACTGGCGGAAATTGAAAGTGTTACACCCAAATGGAATTGATAGAAATTCACGAAACTTGGTAAACATGTACAGTGGTGTACCCAGAAGAAATGAACACAAAATGAAATGAATTACACAAAGTTTTATTGCTGTTTGGTACATGTTTCTGTAAGAGGTATGGTTACCTTGAGATTGGATACACTCTTGGATCCTTGCAAGCATTGAAACAATAAGTACTTGAATGTTTTGTTGGGGTATATCTCTCCATGCCTGCACAACTTGTGCAATCAGTTGTTGTACAGTGCGTGCTGGATGGCTATGAGATGTAATCCGTCTAACCATGGCATCCCAGACATGCTCTAGAGCAGTGATTCTCAAAGTGGGGGTCGCGACCCCCAGGTGGGTCGTGAAAAATATTTGGGGGGTTGCAGAAAAATTTATGACAGATCAATTTTTTTTCAAATATTTTATAAATTTACTATAGATTCATGTTTAGAAATAGAAATCAAAAATATATAAAATAATTTTTACTTAATATAAATAATAAAATACAATATGAATATTTTAATATGATCCTGAATATAACTAAAAAATTTGTGCGCTATTGGGGAATCCCCGAGTTTCCACTCCCCACCTGAACTATTATAGAACAACGTTCGCTAGCAGCGTGTGTCTGTAGGCACATCGAGTTAGAAATATTTACATTCAAAACAAAAGTGCCCACTAACTAAACATTTCCATAGTATTTTATTGCTAATAATATATCAAAATAAATGTAATTAAAGTACTTTTATTTCTTTGTTTTTATTAGGAAAATTATTTTTCGTTGCCTGTGACGCCATGTTGAATTCTGTCGATGTTAAGCCTAACGAAAATTACACGTTTTTTTTTTAAAAATCGTGGCTATTTTATTGTCCGAAATTATTTTTTTATTTTTCACAAATAAAATAGATATATTCATAAATATAAAAACAAAAAAATTATATTTTGAAAGTTTGTTTTAATATAAAAATTATGACGCATAGCGACATCTAGTATCAAAAACGTTCTATGCTTAAATATGGATAAATGGTTGAAAAGAAAAGTTACGAATGTAGGTGCAAAAGATCTTGCTGAGGCGGGAAGCAGTAAAAAAGCAGAAATAGAACCTGCAACGGGACCAGTTCATAAAAAAAAGAGAATGTATAATGAATCATATTTACAATATGGATTTACATTTTCTGCCGGTACACATGACGAACAACTACCTTTATGCTTATTATGCAATGATATTTTGGCGGCTGAAAGCATGAAGCCTTCAAAACTACTAAGGCATTTCAACACGAAACATGCTGCTTATTCAAAAAAGCCTATAGAATATTTTCAAAGTTTATTAAAGTCATCAAATCAAAGCAAATCTTTGTTAGAAAAGTATGCTTTTACTCAGGAAAAATATCTTTTAGCATCTTACCAAGCATCATATCTAATAGCAAAGGCTAAAAAACCATACACAATTGGAGAAGAACTTGTTTTACCTACTGCAGTACAAATTACAGAAACTATTCATGGAATATGCAGATGAATTGCAGAAAATTCCTCTCTCCAATGATACAGTTACTAGAAGGATTTCAGAAATTAGCTGTGATCAGTTTCAGCAACTTAAACAAAGAATTAAAGAAAGTCCAAAATTTGCGATTCAGCTTCATGAATCAACAGATATTACAAATTTAGCTGAACTCTTGGTCTATGTTTGATATAGCTACGCCCTTAATATACATGAAGATTTGCTGTTTTGTCGGCCAATGAACAATCGTACAACAGGCGAAGATATTTTTTACAAGTTAATGATTTTTTCAAGAAAGAAGGATTAGACTGGGATAACTGTATTGGTGTATGTTCTGACGGTGCAGCAGCAATGAAGGGACAGCGCGTCGGATTTCTAGCAAAAGTTAAATCTATTACAAATGGCCATATCATTCTTACCCATTGCATCATCCATCGAGAAGCATTAGTAGCTAAAAAAATATCACCAGATCTTAATGTGGTCTTAAATGATGCCATACGTATTATAAATTTCATAAAATGTCGTGCACTTAATAGTCGTTTGTTTGCAAATTTATGTAAGGATATGGGAGCGGATTACGAACAACTTTTACTACATACAGAAGTAAGGTGGTTGTCAAAGGGACGAGCCTTAAAACGATTAATAGGGTTGAAAGATGAGATAATGATATTTTTATCAGAAACAAAGTCCGATTTTTCTAGTCTCTTCCACAATGAAACTTGGGTTTGCAAATTGTGTTATTTGTCAGACATATTCGAGAAACTCAATGAACTGAATATGTCCCTGCAAGGTGAGAACACAAACATATTAATTTTGTATGATAAAATTCATGCGTTTATGAAGAAGATAAACTTATGGAAATCAAGTGTGGAAAATGGCATGTTGGTAATGTTTTCAAGTACATATGATTTTATCACAGAAAATAATTTGGATAATATTTTAATTAAGAAAATCATAATTGATCATTTGTCATGTATGGAAGAACAATTTAAAAAATACTTTTTATCAGATTTAAATACTGAACAGTTTATCTGGGTGCAAAAACCATTCCTTGTAGAAATGGAACAAGTGAAACATCTCCCATTAAGTGCCCAAGAAGAATTTGCCGAATTTAGTTGTAATACAAAACTTAAAACCGAGTTTAGTAAGCAAACATTGAATTCTTTTTGGCTTAGTGTGAAAGCAGAGTATCCACTACTCTCTGAGTTAGCAATGGCAGTTCTCTTACCATTTGCAACCACTTATTTATGCGAAATGGCATTTTCAGTAATGACCAATATCAAAACAAAGCAGCGCTCTCGTCTCTGCAACATAGAAATTGCTATGAGACCTGCACTGACTGATATTAAACCCAGGTTTAATTTATTGTGCCAAAATATGCAGGCTCACCCATCACATTAAATGTAATTTAAAATATAATTTAATATGCATCAATGTCCTTAATTTATTTATTTTATTTATTATTTAATTTATGTAATTTAAAATATGTTTAACTTAACTAATTGAGTTTACTAATGTTGAAACATATACATATAATATTTTGTTCAAAGATGTACCAAAGATAAGTTATTAATTTTTAATGATACTAAAAATAAATCTGCTATTAAAATTCAATGTTTCAATGCAATTAAACAAAAGAAATTAACACCTTCTGAATTTAAATTAATCTCACCTTCGGGATGTTTTTCTACAAATACCCATTCTTCAGGGGGTCCTTTGAAATTCTTAAGTGCAAAAGGGGGGTCGCGGACCAAAAACTTTGAGAAACACTGCTCTAGAGGATAAATCTGGAGACTGGGCAGGCCAATCCATGATTGTGACACTTTGCAAGGCCTGTCATGTGATGGCAGCAACATGAGGAGAGGCATTTTGTTGGAAGATACTGTTTTGGGTGGTGTTCATGAAAGGTTTGACTACTGAATGGATCACCCTGTCAACATACTGGCGGGTGATCATTGTGCCTTCAACAACCACCAACTCGGTCCTGCTGTTATAACTGATTGCCCCTCAAACCATGACACCAGGAGTTAGACCTGAGTGGCATTCTGAAATCACAGCAGGGTTGGCTCTTTCTCCAGCACACTTGCAGACATGTCACTGACTATCACATTGGCTTAAACAGAATCAGGATTCATCACTAAGCACAATTGTGCGCTATTCATGTGTCCAATTACGTCTAGCAGCACACCACGTTAGCTGTTGTTGGCGATAAAATCTGGTTAATGGAACCCATTGCATGGGGGTCTGAGATCTCAGTCCAGCATCAAGCAATCGGTTTACAATTGTCCGTGGGGTGACTCTGGCAGTAACTACTGCTCGGATCTGTGCTGCCATCACACATCTGTCAGCAACTGCCATCTGCACAATATGGCGGTCTACACGTGGTGTTGTCTTTCTCCATGACCTGTGCCAGGTCTGCGAGTACTGGACCCTTCCTGCTTCCACCTTGTGACCACTCTTTGTACTAACATTGCAGTATGGTCAATCCTTTGGGCAATTTCACAATAATGATGCTCCCATTTCCGAAATGCCAATTATCCGACCTCTTTCAAAGTCAGACATTTGAGTGTACGGAGTTCTCACTCGTTGATATGGCATAGCTGGTTACCAACATGTGGACCAAAAAAAGTCATGTTCCATAACACAGTTCACAAATTATAAACTAAACACTATAGCAATTTTGCATAACAAATGTCTCCATAATTTCCATGCCACTGTATGTACTGTACTTTATTTAAGTTTTGATCATTCAATACCCTTTAAAAAGAGATTCTTTTGTCCCAATTTCATATGTCTTCGACAATATTGGGTGGGTGTAACACTTTCAATTTCAGCCAGTGTATATTCAAGTTTGTATGAAAAATTTAATTCTTATCTCCTGATCAAAATAATCTTCATGTCTTCAACTTTTTAAGTGTTTACACAACCAAAAATCTTGCAGATTAAGTACCAAGTACCAAACTGAGACTCTTACTGCCATTATTTCTTGAAAATTCTATAAGGAAGCAGTTTTTTTTTTTATTTATTGTACTATGTTTTAATTTAATTTTTGATATAATGAGAATTGTCCTAGAAGATTGGAATGCTAGTGGAAACAGTTTATTAAGTTGAATGAGAACAATGCAGCAAACTATATGTAAAATCTTTTTTAAATTTAAAATAAAATGTATTTTATGTTTAGAAGGATCTTTTTAGCCATGAAGTTTCTGTTACATTAATGAATAGTATTAATTTTGTCTTGAATTTGTCTTGAATTCTGATTGCATTATTTTGTTTTTTCAATTTTAGTTATATGCTGCTGTAAAAGAAAAGATGGAAGAAATGCAACAACATAATATGTCCTGGATTGAAGTCCAGTTTCTGAAAAAAGCTGTTGACGTCCTATGCCAGTGTCGTCAGACGTTAATGTATACTTATGTTTTTGCATATTATTTAAGAAGGAATAACCAGTCAGTTATATTTGAAGTAAGTGTATTTTCTATAATTATTCTTTATTGAAAGAAATCTGTATTTCTTTCATTAAATATATTAGAATATGAAAATTTCACTTATCAAGTTACAAGAAGGAAAGTTATTTGATGATGCAGATTATTTTTATTATTGTTACCTGTCATAATTGTAGAAAGAAAAATGTTATCTTTGGTTACAAAATTGTTTATTTTTATTGTTAGATTAAGTTATTGAAACTTAAAAGCAGAACTTTTTAGTATTGAAAGAAAAAAGACAGAGCTTTTATTATAATTGTATTAAGTGTATAATACAAATAGTTTATAAGATCTTTATACAACAAAAAATTAAATAAGTAAAACCTGTTACTTGCTTCAACAGCCCTCCTATTTTTTTCCAAGTTATCATAGACACATAAAAATGTGTTGTGTGTAGTTCAGTCCTATTTACTTTTTTATGTTTAATCCTTGTATAATTGATATCAATAAGCATTCTTATTTGATGGCCAGATGGTTGAGATGGTTCAAGCATCAACTTTTATCACTATGAGGACTGAATTCAATCACATAGCATCCTAGGAATTTTTCATGACTTCCTCCACTATCCAGCTACCTTCATTATGGGCCTGGCTGAATTCATAATAGGTATGGCAAAAAGACCTTCTTAGTTCCTACAGGTTGAAAATAAGTCAAAATGGAAAAAAAGACATTTGTATTTGAATTTTCATCTTGAAAGCTGATAGGGAATAATCACCAGAAATTTATTTGATTTCAGAGAATTTTGATACTTAAAGCATATGATGAAATAATTTCATTTTTCATACTAACCCAGCTGAAGTGCTTCTGCTGGGTTGGTGTATTTTCTGTTATATGTAAATGAAGTGTTGAATGTATTTGTGATACTTGGGCCAGTGTTGCATTCACTAGTGTTGGCAAGGGAGATTGTGGCAGATTTTTCAAATGTGACAAGGTATTTCCTAACCACAAATATCTGGGCCTTGTTAAGTGATAGACCACCAGAAAACTGGACAAACATTGCTGGAAATAGACATGACATCATTCAGACAAACATTGACAAAATCACAAAAATATCTTCATCTAACTGTTATAGATTAGAGGCTTGTTGATCTGAAAAGAACAGTTATATAAAACAGCCCTGTCCCATAAATAATGCTTCAATATATTTATTCTCCAACTTTTTGCTTAGTATAAACATACAAAAACACTAGCTTACATATAAAATTGCATTCTCATTGACAGTACCTTGATAACAGTCATTAGGGTTTCTCATTTCCCGGTTTTTGCTTGTCTCGGGATTCCGGGATATAATTAATTATTTTTAAGATATAAAATAAATCTTAAAATCGAATGATGTAATTATTTTTCATTTTTTAAGTAACTTAATGTGTCCTGCAACCTCCAAAATAATAATAATAATGCTGTGTAAAATATATATAAAATATTTTGAATTACGTAGAAATTTTCACAAATAGAAAAAATTTTGTTGGAAACTGCTTACAACAAAAATGCCTTTGAATTGAGTTGAAAATTTAAATAAAAATAAAGTTAGATCAAACTTAAAAGGTAATTTTCATTTTTTAAATAGAACTTAATACAAAATATTGTAAATTTTTATAATAAGATTTTAAAAAGCAAAGATGGTCAATACTCCAATCACTCGATCTTGTTCTTATTTTAGTAATGAAAAGTCCTACCGAGAATGCCCTTTCTGATTCAATTGATGTGGGTGGAGTCATCATTAATGCATTTAAGAGAAGACATATGTTGTGTTTTTTTTCACCTGTAGCCTTGACGATTTCTAGTTCGTTTTCAAGATGCATTGTAGTACTTTTTTTGCTCTCTAGTATTCTTGATTTGTCTACCTCAGCTGCTTTAATAGTGACATCGAGTTAATAGCCCGATAATTTAGCAGTTTGTTTTGCTTTAATAATCAGGTTTATGAAGAAAAACTTTATATTTGCATACTTTGTATTGTTTCTATCCTTGCCCGATTTGTACAATCTGGCATAATGCAATTATTGAAGCTACTGGGCATGGTTAAAAATTAAGACAGCATAAGCACAGCTATTCCAGATATTACAGGTTCTGACAAGTAAAGAATTTTCAGAGTCCTGTCACAAATAGGCTACATATTGATTATTCACAATCTGTGACATGCCATAACAAGTAAAAATTTAAAAAACTAATAAGCAGGCTTAAAATTAATAAATACAAATGTATTTTGACAGTTTATGGGTTAATTATACATCCTATTTGCAAAATTTCCTCAACTTTAACACAAAGTAAGAAAAAAGTGAATTTTAAGAAATTTGTAGGATTTCCTGGGTTAAAAAACAGCCAAGATCCCGGATATCATTGGAGAAACCCTAATAGTCATAATTCAGAAACATAAACACAACAGTTACAACTAGTGACACTGTAGACAAAATTAATTAATTAATACACAAACTAAATATACTGGATTAGAGACTGTGAATTCTGAAAATACACAATTACGAAAATGAATTGGGTTATGATGTAATTAAGCATAAAAAATACATTAAAAAAATACTTAAAACTGAAAAAAAACGAAAGAAATGCGTTTATTTTGAAGAAAAAGCTTTGAAGTTTAAGTTCCTTTGTCTCGCCTTTCTGCGAAATTTAACACGGATGAGTCATTGTTTACACAGCTGGATGACCTTGAAAACAGCTGGAGTCGGATTTCCCGGGGCATTCTCAGACGTCTTGGGAGGACAAGGGTTTAAAGTAGGGTGAATATGAGGGACGCCTATATTTTTAAAAAATTAAAATTTTATTGCGATTTCCGGATCCCCCTAATTAATTAAATTTATATATAATAAAATCGATTAATTAAAAAAATTAATAAACTGTCGAAGGTCGTTTTTGACATTTTTTTTTTTTAAGGACCGCGTTTTTCGTAACGCTATGTAAACTTGACGAGTTATCTCGTCAATGGGCGTTAATTAACTACGTTATCTAAATAAGATTGGTTGCAAATTGATGTAATCACTATGTTTTTATAATCACATAGTATTAAGATAATGCAAGTAACTACAAATGTACTTTTTATAGAAACATTAACAAATGATTTGCTGTTTTTTTCTGTAATGTAATAACAGAAAAAATAAAGTAAAACAACAACCATTTCATTGCAAATGATATAGCCGTCTCTTAATAGCCAGTAAATGCAGAATAACCAAAGATATTCATTTGATTTTGTTGATATCCAGAGCAGAGTTAAAATTACAATTATTAATAACAACAACAATGGTCTTTTGAACCATTTGTCCCATTAGACAAATAAGGTTCATTTTGTATATCTCTACTTAGATAATGCAAGAATTCTCAGACCTCTTAAACATTCACTTATGACAGGCTCAAATTTTGATAACTCCAAGATTAAAAACAAAAATTGATCATTTGTTTGGTGCAAATATTTTATCCAAACTTTCTCTTGATGCTAACAGTTGACACACACAACTGAATAACTGAGATTATCATCTTTAATATATCTCCAACATTGCCATTTAAGTTCTAAGTTTCTAGTAAATAGTAATTTTCTATAATCAATAGAATCATATTATTTGTCTGAAACTTTCTAAAAAAATATTAGTGCCAGTGCACCTAGATGCAGTGCGAAATAAAAATGATAGTGCACTAATTGATGTATTTACATTGATAAATTATCAAAGAAGCTAACTAAGTAAATTATTTCCTTGTTGTGAATAAAAATATTAAACCTGTTTAACAGTATGTATAAATCTGTGTATTTTCCTGAATCCTGGAATTCAGCCATTTTAACAATGATATATAAAAAGGGTGATCTTTCCTCTCCTAGCATCTATAGACCAATAGCATTACTGTCAGTAATAAAAAAATGTTTTACTTCACTTCTTGCAAATAAATTTAAGTTATGGACTAGAACAATGGGACTGGAAGCTGAATTCCAATATGCATTTACTACTAATAAAGGAACCGAATTTGCAATTTTCACCTTATTAATGATAATTCAACTATATCTTTTAAAAAAACATAGGAAAATATATGCTGCTTTTATTGACATCCAAAAAGCATTTGATTCAATATATGTGCCTCTACTGATACATAAACTCAAATCCTGTGGTGCAAGTACTCGATTTACTTCAGTAATTTTAAAATTATATTTAAATTATATTATCAAGATAAAACAAGGCAACAACATCTCTCAAAATTTACTTTTATCCCGTGGAGTCCTCCAAGGTGATCCCTTATCTCCATATCTATTCAACTTCTACCTTATCGGTATTGATCGTCTATTTACTGAACCAACCGATGGAATTACAATAGGAAATAGAACTTATCATTATATTCTTTTTGCTGACGATCTTGTGCTCCTGGCTCCAACAAAAATTTCACTACAAAGGAAAATAAATCAACTTAATAAATTTCTACAATCATTATATTTAACAATAAATTCTTCTAAAACGAAAATAATCATATTCCGCAATAACTGTAAAATATCTGAAAATAACACTAAAATATACCATGAAAATATCCTCTTACAAACGGTAAATGAAATAGACTATTTGGGAGTCAGGTTTGAGTGGAACTTATCCTTTAAAGCACATTTTAATAAAATAAAAATTAAAGCAAAACAAGCTATTGATAATCTATTATTTCTATGCTCTAAGCTGAAAACTACCAACTTGAAAGTTCATATTAAACTATTTAATTCAACAATTGTTCCAATAATATATTATGCAAGCCCAATATGGAGTTTAGATTATATATATAAATTAGAAATTCTTCATGTTTATTATTTACTCAAACTATTCCAACTTGAAAGAACAATTCCAGGCTACGCTTTGAGACATGAAGTAAATAGAATTTGGTTTTTTCCCTTTGTTTTAAAACGTATAATTAAATTTTACTACAGAATTAAATTCAAAAACGATAGTACAATAAGATATCTTCACCATCAAAATATTAATCATAGTAAAGATCAAAAATCCAAACAACTATGGCAATATAAATTAACTCATATTTTAAATAGTTTTGGTACATCAGTGCTACTATTCAACAATAATATTAATGACTGGAAATTTGGCTACTCCCTCCTAATAGATTCTGCAATTTCACAAGCAATAAATAGAGATCAAGATTCATTGTACCAAAGCAGTTATCACCCATGGTATATTAAACTATTGCAAATTCCATCTTTACAACTCTATATGTTTCAGTCAATAAATCTAAACGTAAAGCGTCTAATAATTCAACTTCGCTTAAATAAATATTCTGTGTTTATTAATAATAAATATATCAACCTAACAAAAAATTATTGTCCCTAATGCAAATCAGAAAAATTCTCACTACTTCACTTAATTCAAAGCTGTAAAGCTGTTAAAACTACGTAATTACTATAAAATACCCCAAATATGTCAGACTAATTCAGAACTGGAGTTTAAATCAAGTCTAAAAAATCTTAATAAAACGGATCTATATAAAATATATAATTATTTTGTAAAAGTTTCAGAACGATGCTATTTGTCAAATCAAAATTAATGTTGTACAATCATCCGCTGTCTTGAAAAAGCAGTTGATTCACTACATTTGTAAATATAATTGATGTCTAAACAAAATAAGAATTAATTTGTAGTTTTATATTTAAATTTTAAATTTACTATTTCTAGTTGTATTTCTCCCAAATAATTTGTAAAATTCCCCCTCAACAGAGAAATTGTTCTCTATTGTTAACACTAACTAACACTGTATTAATTTTAATTAATTATTTCCTTGTTGTACATTGTAATGAATAAAAATTTCAATATATGATCTGAAAATGCCACTCTTTTAAAAGTGCTGTCTGAAGGTGACTGTCTCACCCCCACGTACCGACCCTGATCAGGAGACAGTTGTGCAAGAGAGGAAACTTAATTCTTGTGAAACATAACTTTTCTATCTTGTCTCAGTGTAAATTTTCTTGGTCTAATAGAGGACTTCTTCATCCCATATAACTTCCCAGTTTTAAAAAATTGTTTACCACACATGGAGTGTGACCAATTCTTCTTGATATTTCTCTAGATGATAATCCTTCTTCATTAAAAGCTGTAATTTTTCTTTTCTCAGACTCAAAGTGCTGCTTTTTTAACTGATGTTAATGAAACTATATTTACACCAAGAATTTATTTTTATTAAATTTTCCAGAATAAAATTAGTTAAACATATTATTACTACCTAATTTATATGTAAAAGCACAATTTGAATGGAGAACTTTTACAAACTGGGTAATAACTGACTTCTTGTTTCTCGTTTTCTTTGTATACCTTTACAGAAAAGAAATAGCTGCTACCTATTATGTCAAATATAAAAACTATTTGTAACTGTTTCTACAAATATTAAACTTGTACTTTGTTTTAGAATTTACTTTTATGAAAGATGAATGGGTATATCATTTTGCAACTGAGCTTATATTGCACTAGAATAAAATAATATATGGATGTCTGAAAGCATTGTTTTTGGTTGAGTGACTGCAATTTTAAACTACAAGCAAATTTAGACAGATAAATTCTAAGTCTTCATGGTGACAAATATTAGAAACACAAATAAATGATATTAGACAATAGCTGGGTAGACTGATACAATACACTAAAAACAACATAACATGAAAATTTAATGAAAGAGGTTAGGTAAATATTTATGAAAATTCACACTTGCAACATAATGCACATTGATACCTGCAGACAAAAACTTGAACAAAGATTAAAATGATACAAAACCTATATTCACCAGACAGATGTTAACTCATTATTTCTTTTTCAGTGTTAGTTGTTGGGACACTTTTCTGTATTATAACATCTGTTGTTCTGAAATCTAGCACTCATCTGAAAAACTTCTTCTATTTCTTTCATAGTGGTTTATTGGTTTTAACAAATTTGCTTATATGCAGATATAATCATCTAAGATGCAACTAACTGCAGTTAACTGGATCATGGAGAATAAATCACACTTATTCTGGAATTTGCTGTTCTATTTGTAGATTTGATAAAGGGTTAGACAAACACTCATATTGTGCCCTGAATTTGATTTTGGATATCAATGTGTTTTTATATCTTCTTCAGCAAACAGATAATGGAATGCTTGTTGCTGCTCTCCTTTGGTGTAAACTTAGAGGGTGTGATCTTGGACTAACTCTTCTTGACACACCATGGCAACCAAATATTGGCTCTGAATCCTCGCTTGCACCATCTATTGAAATAAAACGTTTGATTTCTCAAAGTGCTTTTTGAATAGTGTTAATACAAGGCTAGTTATTTTAAGTATTTTGACAAATTTAAAAATATCTGAAATATAATATTTCATCAAAAACATTTAAAAAATTATTGCATTATAGTAGACTTTGCCACTTTATAGTTTAAAAATATAAATAATTTATATATATGTATTTATTTACTTATTCCATTTGTATTGGACATAGAAAATTTATTATTTTCTGTGCTTTTTCTTATTATTGATTTTCTTTTCAAATCAACATGATAAATTGTTTTCCCCTCATAAATCATGAACAATTTTGTTATATTTCATAAAATTATTATAAAATCATAGATTGTTTTAAATTATGTATAAAAGATTTTAAATAATCATTAAAAAGTTAAAACTGATTTTAATATCTAGGATAATCAACGAGATTTAGAAAGTGCTACGGAAAAGTTGTCAGAATACTTGGAGAGAGATATAACCCAGGAGAACCTTTTGGATATTAAGCAGAAAGTGCAAGATAAATATAGGTATTTAATTTAAATTGTTGTATATTAATAAATTTAATTGAACTGAATTTCTATAAAACATGATTTCATTTTAACTAGTTGATAAATTAATATTTAATGAATATTTTATTCTTAAATAAAACTTAACTCCTAGCTACAAAATTAAAAAAAAGTATTGTAACAACTTTATTGTATGATAATGAATAAAATCTGATAAAATGATTTTATTATAAATAAATAATAAATATTTCTCACTAAATACACAATAATGATCAGGAAACAATGTATGATGAATTGTTTTAACTTCACTGTAATGAAGTTTGATTATTTAAGTTCATAAATCATCATTTAAAAATTTTTTAAAGCAATATTCAGGTTGCTCTAAATATTATTTAAATTTTATTAATTATATTATTTAATTTAATATGCAAAAAAATAAAAGGCAACCTTTACTAAAGAGAGAACAAATTTTTTTCAGGTATTGCGAAAGTAGATGTAAAGTGTTATTGGGACACGTCCATGAAGGTTATGAAAAAGACTGGTGGGAATATACCGAATGATGTTTTTTTGTTGAACAGTTTTTCTGCCCATTTTGATCTATAAATTTGTTCACGTGACCAAATCTGGGAACTTCGAATTTAAGCGTTTGAAACTTGAAGGAGTATTGCCAAGAAACTGTGGAGAACCGAGTGAGAAAGATTAAAAACTAGAAGGATGTTCAATAAAGGATTTAACCAAACAATTGTGTCATGTGATGAAATGTTATCAAAAGTTTAGGTGGAGTCGATTGTCGGTATTTAATTTAATATCTTCTCCCGTTGCGCTGTCAACCGTGTTTCTACATACATTTGTTTCTTTAATATCGAGGACTTCCCCCATCCATTTTATAAAAATAATTATACTTGCTTTTTTGAGTTAAGAAAATAAAATCATGAAGATATGTACTTTTTGATATAAGAGTAAATGTTTCTTTTAGAAGTTTAGTTCTTAAAAGTTAAAAAATCAGATAGTTAAAATAGTTTTAAGAGAAGAAAAATGCCACCTTGTGGTTTGGAGAGAGTTTTGTTTTAAAAACCTCTATTGTTTATTTTTTAATTAAATCCAATTCAAATGATATAGTCCTATACATAAACTATTAATGAAGAAAAAATATTGAGTATGAATTTTAAAATAGTCATTTACTAACATATAATGAATAAAACTTACAAATTCTTTTAAAAAAAATCATTAAATAAACTTTTTAAGATTTTTAGTAAGGTAGAATTTAATTGATTTAATTAAAAGCTTAGCTAATTGTCTAATTATTTGTTTTTGAATTGTTTACTCTTCACAGATCCCAAAATAAATTTTAATTGAGACAAATCATCATTTTTGTCATATTACTGTGTTGTCATTAGCTTTATATGTACTGTATTACAAATGAAAAGAAAAGGAAAAAAAACTGTTATTAATTTTTTGGATGGCTCAATAGCTCCAATAACGTGTGTAATTTTAAAGATTATCCACCAGCATATTGTTATAAAAGTTGCAAAATTTTTGCCAAAATAAACAGGGATTCTGCCACATGGCCTGAATTCCTCTGCCACTGAAAAATTGTTTCTGAATTATATAATATATATATATATCTTTATTCCCTTTCCTCCTTTTTAAAAAGTTAATTTTTTAGGTGAAAGTTTTTAATTCGAAAGAAAACTAGTTTCTTAATTCCATATTAGTGTGATAAGTTATAATTTACATTCTGCTTAATTTTATTATTATATAACCTGTCGAGTGTATTGATAATTTTTGCTTACTCCTCGGAGAAGCCAAGACAAGTAGCAGCTTACAATGTATATTAATCAGTTGATCGTAGTTTTACCGTAATTGTAGATGGAAAAAAAAAAAAATGTATATTTGGCACAAATCAAATAATTCCTTTTTGGATAAATGCAAGTGCTGTAGAGGCAACTTGTCAATAAAAATGTTAGGGAAAATGGCATGATTTATATGGAGGATTAAAAAAAAAAACCCAAATGATGATGATAATCATGCATATCAATATATAAAATGTATGAATAATTGGAAAATAATTATTATTTACTATTTTGTGTGATTACTGTTTTAAGTGATCACACTATTTATTATTATTTTGTAAACAGTTTACAGGGGAAAAAATACATTTTTTGAGTGTCATCATATTTTGTTGCTCTGCTGAAGAAGGGAATATGTATTAAATGTAATGTATATATTAATTTGTAGACAAAAATTTCATGCAGTTGTTAAAAAAAATTGTAGGAAAAGAAATAAGTTTTTTGTTAATTCTAAACACTGAAAAATAAATAATTGCTTTACTTTTTTTACAGCAATAAGGTTCACCTTTCCTTGTTAATAAATATATTAAAAGAAACTCTCTGCTGTGGAAAATTGAAGATTTATTTACAAGTAATACTTTCATTTAATTTATATTCTTAATTTTGTCATATAAAATAGTAATCTGAATACTATTAACATTAATTATAATTAATAATGGTTCAGATTATTATTTTATAAATTTTACCACTGATAAATTAATTTTTACAATGTAAATTTTTCCACCAGAATTGATTCACTTGTATATTTATCAATTATATCTGATTTCTATCGAAAACTTTGGGCGAGACTTTATCTTATCCAGATACCTATAAATATTTCAAATGATCAAAATACATTATCAAAGTTCTGCATGTACATCTATTATATAGTTAAGTACTAATTATCTTTACACATAAAAACAGTTTAATGTACAGTACAATAAGTGAAGAAAAAATAATTGTTGGAAATTATAAAATGAAAGTTTAGTTCAAAAATATGGTTAAATATTTTCATATTCAATCATCTTTTTTTAGTTCAGATATTTAAGTTGAGGAAAAGAAGGAAAACTTAATTGTTTTTAGTAAAAAAACACACTGATTAATTTATAAACTTATTAATGTGTGTACATATCCATATATATATATATATATATGTATATGCGCTAATTAATGATTTAAATATATAATTTTATGATAATCTACAGAAACAATAAAATAATTTTATTGTTTCTGTAGATGAACAGAATTTTTCTAATTTTTATGTCTACAAAAAATAAGAGAGGAAGGATCAATCCTGTACTTCTATATACAAATATAAGAATGAAGGATTTTTAAATTCGAATAAATCAGATTTAATAATTTCTTTAAACTGTTATTTCTCATTTTTTCATTCATTTGTAAGATTTATCCCCTACCTGGAAATGTTTGAAAGACGTCCTTTGATATCGTTAAGAAACGATTTTTTTTTTACTTACAAGTTAGTAAAATGTAAAGTTTAATTATTTATGTTCGAATTACCTTAGTATTTATTCTAATAAAGTTAAAATGGCAATTTCAAAAAAGAACGTCAGAAATCTAGTTTAATTGACAGAAGGAGAACCTATTTACAGGAATTAGTGATACTTCAAATCAATAAGAAAAAAGTAATAAGTGGAACATTGATGTTGCGTGAAAATTAAGATTTTTTAATAATACTTTTGGAACATATCAAGACGAAATCAGGGTTACTATCAGGTGGACTTTGATATGCATTTCCATAACGTGATCAGTAACTGTATTTTGATTTCAATAATTATATCAACCTTAATCGAAAAGGTGTTAAACCAAAAATATTAACACACATTTATTTTTCGAATAAGAAATGTACTTCTTTTAACATTTTGGTAATATTTGTTTTAAAAAAATAATAATAAATGCGTACTTGACTATAAATAGCTCAATAGAAATGAAATACAGGGGATGCAAAAGTAGGTAAACGGCTGTGAATCTGAGAAGTAGATGTTTGGTGTTCATTATTATCTTTAACGGTTTTGTATTATGTAAGAAGTTTCAAGCTGATTCAACGTCGGATCAGCATTTCCACAAGGTGGCACTGGTTACAATCGGGGCTAACTTTGGCCTTGAAAACGTGGAATGTTCCTTGTTTTCATGGTCAAGTTTAGGTCAGTTTACGACGAAGTTGCAGAGGACAAGGAGAAATATCGTTTTTATTAGTTTATTTTATATTTTTAGAATAGTCAAGTCATGAATTTTCTATTGTTTGTTTATAATTGAATTTGGGACCCCTTGGATTAGGAAAAAGGCAACACAGACGAAAAAGGAGAGCAGGCATCCCACTGTACAGGTTGGTGGTCGACATCAAAACTTGACAAATTCAGTTTTATAGTAACAATTATACAATTAATCCGATATTTGAAGATATCAAAGAGCAATCGACCAATTCTATTACACATTGACCTCTAATTTAATACAATTATATCTTAAGAATTGAGATTGATAATCGTGATAAAACCTACAGTTTTATAATACAGTGAAATATAATTAAGTCTAATATTTACTTTATTCATCTTTACTTGGGAATGTTTGTTTCGCACTGAAGTGAAACTAAAGTATAAAAATGGCATTCTCAACTTTATAATTTACTAATTAAGTTTAATAACACAATAAAGGTGTAATACTTTATAATATAATACTGTACTTTAATAAGTGGATTGACATGTAAAGAATGAAATTACATGGTAATAGCACAGTATTGTATACGTACTGTGTTTATTTATTCGTCGTTATGCTAGTAGGCATATTGATCGTTTAGATTGTCACAAGTAGGCGTCACTGATCATGTAGTAGCATGATGTAAGAGAATTGCAGTGTGACGTCAATGGGGGAAGAAATGAGGGCAAGTTTAATATTTAACTATTTAATAATACGTAAAGTTAATTAATTAATGTAGCAATATATATAAATTAATTCAGATTTTTACTATATAACTTAATAGGGAAAAAAAAACATTTCGTAAAAACAGCATTAAAAAAACAGAAATTTTAATATACTTACTCAGTGTTTAGTTCAAATGATATTATTATTACTATTTTGTACAATTATCCTGTTTAAAAATGAAATTCAAGAAGACAAAACTGTCCTTTGAATTATCAATACATTTAAAAACGAATTGTCATATTTTACAAGTATATGTTACTTAATTAAGAACAGAGGCAGAGACGTCGCATTTCAAAAGATCTCATAAGCTTGGTATTCCGTAAGTATAGGTTAATTGTACAATTTAGCATACAAAAATGTAATCGATGTACATTTTATATCGTTAAAAGGTAACAGAAAAAGTTTTTTTCATAACTCAAAATTAAACTTAACTATTTGTTAAGGTGCACTAAAAACCTCAGGTTATCTATTTCTGACTAAAACAGCAATGAAATGGGAGTCACTTTAGGGGGATAATTCAACGTCGATACAAATAAAATCTTTGTTCTAAATTTAATACAGTAATAAAAAAATTCAAAATGTCGCCTTTTAACTAAGTAATTCAGAGATGTAAAACACTTAACTCAAATAGGGAACTTTACAATTAAACAATTGATACAGTGAATTTTACAGTTGGATGTAACAAAATGATAAAACTTAGTTTTATTATTTTGGAATTAAAACGATTGAAGTTAATTCAAATAAGATAATGGATATTTCGAGGAATTATCGAAGATTGTAAATTTCACAATGATTGGAACAAAGTTTAGCTTTTCGTTTCGTATTGCAACAAGAGGCCCCATATATTGTATATAAGAAAAGTAAAAATTTTATTGCAACATCTAATTTACATCATTTTAATCATTTATTATTATCTCTTCGATTATCCTCTCAGTTTATCGTAAGATTTTATTTGTAAATCGTGTAATACAGAATTATTCCGATTACTTTTGTCGGGATATACAGTTTTATATGTCAGATTGACGTGAAAGTGTACACATTACGACAAAACAAATACGTCTCTATTAAAAGCGAAACGATTAAAAATTAATTTGTTTTTATATGTTTATGTTTACATAACTTATCGTTATTTACTTTTTCTAATTAAACAATTAGAGAAATTCCATAATTAAATAATTGATAAAATTGCCAATTGTTCATAGAATCTGTTAAAGTGTATTTTAAATACTTTAAAATAATTTCTGTAGCTGAGTAAAATACCATTTTTTTTAAATAAATCGATCAATTAATAAATAAAAATAAAAATCTTTCAAGAAACAAAACAGTTACTGTTTCAAAAGTCTGAAGTAAATACCGTATCCAATATTTCGTCGATCGTACAAGTGTACATGTTTAGATTTCTGTAGAAAGTACTATTCTCAAGAAGTGTGATATACATACTGTTTCGAGTATGTGGGTTCGACTCGGCCACTAGGCGGAATTTGTCGCTGCTGTCCCCTTAATGAACATATTATGTACTGTACGTTTTGTAATGAATTTCGGGTATAAAAAGAGCCGAACACAATCTACACTTGCATTTAATTAATTATGAATTGTGGGTTCGAGTCCAGGCTGATCTTTTTTTACAGAATACTCTAAATTAAAGTACAGGTATTTTTAATTATTCAATTTAACAGGAAATGTTGGCCTAACTGTTTGCTTCTATTTTCACGTTAAAATGGCCAAATTACGCGTGTTAAAAGCCCCAGTAATATACACTAAAAGTTAGGTTGAAGTGCATAAGTACTTCTGTTTGCCAGAAAACTTATTAACGTCTGTTTAGTCACACTATCGTAAGTGCGACAATAGATGACAGAAGGAATTTGAAAATTACATCACAAAACACGTATTACATGTCTTCTGACGAAAAATCTTAAGGCTCATATTAACTCTTCACGTTGCATTAATGTTACGACGTTTAAACACTTGAAACCATTTTCTTGCAGGAAACAGGGCCGTCGAGAGGGGGAAACTAGGTGGTTTTTTACCTGTCCCGAAGAAAATTTAGGGGCGCTATCATATAAAATTAATGGTATTTTTCTAACAGAAAATAAAATTTTTAAGACCGACTTTTATCGTTGGGAAAGCATTCTACGTATTTCATTTATTCGAAAAACAAAGGTTAAAGGGGCCCGCTCTAGGTCCCCAGATAAGTTCTCGTGGGCCCTGACAATACAGAACTTCTCCCTCCGTGCTAAATGTCTAGGATCCAAACACCTGCACGAATTCAGTATTTAAGTTTTGTTGTTTTGCCCGTATTGTAAGTTCAACCGAACTAGATATAACGCAATCATTTCTGTGTATGCACCGCACTGAAAACTTTTAACTACTCGCAAGTGAAATCACTTCCCTAATATATAATTAAACATTACATTTCCGCAATTTTTCGAAAGATAATATATTTATATACAGTAAAACCTGTCCAAAACGGAAACCTGCTAAGTCGGGACAAATATTCGAGGTATCGTGCGAGTCCGGCTAACTCAAGTTTCACTGTAATAAATTTATGGATCTAACAATAAATATAACAATTCATTAGTATAAATACTTAATATAAACTGTTAAATTTAAAGTATAAAATTCTTTAAAAAATAAATTTTTAAAAATACAGTATATAAATGTTTTATCGTTATAATAATAATTTATTTTAAGTAAAATGGTAAATTGTTGCAGGTAACTTAATGGATGATAACTTAGAATTCGATATCAATGCATTTAGAATATCAGAAATCGCAATCAGGAAAAACAGAGTATTGTTATCTTGCTGATATCGTCGGCTACAGTTTAAAAGCAAATCAAATTGTGTGATCCACCTTTTCGCTTGTAAACTGAAGGAGAGTGAAGTTTAAAAAAAATGGGCTTTATTGAAACCGTTCTTCAAATTCTCGGTAAGTTCAAATGATAAAAATTATTGAAATAATTCATTTTATATTCTGAAGCTTTAATAATTTTTAAAATAAATATTTAGTTTTGTTCCTATTTTCTTTGTAAATTTCAGTGTGCGTTGTTCAGTAATTACATTATATGAAAATTAAGTTATTTTATAATTTTATAGTTAATTAATATAATTAGATATTAGTTAATATTATAATTAATTAAGAAATAATTATATCTAAATTAATTATAATATTAATTAATATAATTAGATATTAGTTAATATTATAATTAATTTAGATATAATTATTTCTTAATGACTTTAAAAAAGATACAATAAAACCTGTGTAAACCGGAATCGCGCGGCACCAAATATTTTTTTCGGTTTGGCAAGCGATTTTTCAACACACAAAATCGTTCCGTTTCGAAGAATTTTCCGTTTAATTCAGGTTCCGTTTTGGACAGGTTTTACTCTATTTACATTACATATTCTTCAGTTTATACATATTGGCTTAGAACAGTTTACGTGTTGTTCGCGTTTCAATTAGTAGTAGTAGTAAAAATATATCTCGGTTAACTGACTTTAGAGCCACCTTATATCTATAATCACTCGTATTTATTTGTTAATTTTATCTCGAGAACTTCAACCTACTATTCTAAAATGACCGATTTTAAAAATACTTAGCAAGTTGAGAAAATATTGTTACCATAGGTGACTTACAGTCAATATTAAATAAAATATTATAGGGTTACTTAAGAATAAGCTGAGCAACCAGTTGCTCAGCTTTCTCGGCAACATTTAAAGTTTTGGTGGCGCCATCTGTTATATTTTATTTTAAAAATATTTCATATTTTTTATTATTATAAAATGGCAAATAGCTTAATTTTGAGGATAGGAATGAACTTTATAAAAGATTGTAAATGCTAATAACGAGTAAAATCGTCATTAAGTCCGACCCTACTGGAGATACACACGACCCATTATCTCCCCACCCCGTCGACCTTTAACCACCAAAATTTAATAGCATCAATCATCCTAATAAACAAACCTTCCTGCAAAATTTCAGAAATTTTCGCCAAAAAGTACAAAGAATTATTAAGCTTCAAACAGGGTGAACAGAATCGTGCCCTCCACACACCTATAACATACATAAAGAAATTACCCCTGAATATTTTTTGCATTTCTCGACGTTTCAAGGTGTCCTAAGGTAAAAAATATAATATTCTTGGGGAATAATTTTTTGACCGATCGTCATACTCATACTCTCCCTCTGTTATGTATAACAGCCGGTAAGGTAAAAATGAGATTAGTTAGAATTAAAGACGGTGACTATAACAAAAACAGTCACTATTTTATTCACTTTTACTGTTCCGGAATACGGTTTTTGACGACCGACTTCCTTTGCAGGCTACTTCGTCTTTTTTTCGTACTTTTTTAAAAATTCCCTTTAAAAACAATGAAAAAATATATCCGATTAAAAATAAAAATACTTCTAAACATGGAGCTTGTAAGCAAACAGATGTATACTTTCTTTTCCATCCATGTCACACCAAAAAGGGACAGCTAGATATTTATACATGCCAGCGCTTACCTCAATAGATAAAAAGCTTGAATATAATCCGATGTGGCATGGATTGAAAAAATAAAGCATATGTATGGTTACCAGCTCCGAGTTTTAAATGTTTATGTATTTAATTGGATATTTTTTCGGCAACCGGTGGCACGGTGGATAAAGCCATCCAAAACTGGTAGTTAGTAAGTCGTGGGTTCGCGCCTGGCCAATATGAAGTTTTTCGGGTTTTCTTCACATTAATAATACCTAAATAGGGACCAGTTTTCCATAGAAAGTTCTCCCGGTAGGAACCCCTCTCGGCATGTGTCGTGTTGCCAAACAAACCAATCCGAAACAGTGAAAGTGTTATGGTGATTGGTTTTGTGACACACTGTCCTTCAATTCTAGTTAATATTAATTATTCTCCAATGAAAAAATTTTTGAAAAATGAATTGCTAAAATACCAAAACACACGCTAAATCTGGCAACTATGCCTCCTGTATTGATGTCTTTTGCTGATGGCCAAGATCAAATCCGGACGGATCGAAAAACCACGAGGAATTTTTCGGAGATTGTCCGTGGGAAGCTCAAGCCTTTACCACTCGATTACCCCATTGCGGGCCTGGCCGAATTTATAATGGTTTGCCAAAAACAGAGTCTTTTTAGTGCCCGCAAGGCGGAAAGAGTTTACTTACTTTTTTGTTTTTAGAGGATATTGTTCAATGGGGAGAAGTTTTACGTAATTACAAAATTAGTGTTTCTCAATATTGTTAAGTTGGTTTCTTACTTGGAATAGGCCTAATGTGATATTACTTTACTATGTTTTCTTGCCATATTCAAGATTCGAAAATCAATCAGTAAGAATTCTTAAATAATTTATTGACATTAAAACGTTAGAAATTAATTTCCTTTTTACACATTCAGCCTATCAGTTTATAATTTTTATCACTACAGACAAAAATAATGAACAATTTGATAAATTTTAAGGAAAAACGCCCCTAATCCTGATTATATGGATGAACTTTGAAAGAGATAATATTGTCATTCTAAGATCTTATCTATTTTCTTTCATCTAACAAATTCAAAATTTTACGTAATTTAAACCATTGATTTAATGAATACGTATTTAGCAAAGAACTACGTTTTAATTTTTACAGCTATGCTGATTTAATGCAGTTTCCCAAACTTTTCTGATGAATCCCCTTTTGGTACACATAATTATTTTTTGTTTCAAAATGAATTTTTATCCCTCTTTCCTTCCAACACTTCTACTGCCCTTGACTTCCAGCGCTCCTTGAGTCTTTCATCTCCTCGAGGGCATCCACTTTGAAATAATTGATTTAATTTATAATGTATTATACGATTCCTATGGAAAATGATAAAATTAAACATTTCATTTTATTCCGGATTTGAATTTGGTTTATTAAGAATAAGATAAATAGAATAATCGAATACATCGCTGATTATAATTAGTATTTTAATTACAATACAAAAAATATACTACAATTTTCTGAAGATGATATTGCAGATTTCTGTGCAAGTTCGTATTAGTTTAACAAATTAAATTTGAATATTTTCTCTTGTTTCAGGTCTCGTTACTACCACTACTATAATTTACTCGCCATCTACTGATGTTTCTTCCAATTTGAAACTTTTAAATACCACGACTTCTCCTGAATTTTTATCTACGACGTACGCAATATTAAACGTTACTAGAGTAAATAATACAGACTTGAATAATTCGACGAACTTTCTTGACGTTTCAACCACTTTACATCAGGGCAATTCTTTTAAACCTACCGTTACTACAAAAATTGATCAAAGTAAGAAGCCCACAGCATCTTCGGGCGGAACCACAGGGACCGGGAAGCCCACAGCATCTTCGAGCGGAACCACAGGGACCGGGAAGCCCACAGCATCTTCGAGCGGAACCACAGGGTCCGGGAAGCCCACAGCATCTTCGAGCGGAACCACAGGGTCCGGGAAGCCCACAGCATCTTCGAGCGGAACCACAGGGTCCGGGAAGCCCACAGCATCTTCGAGCGGAACCACAGGGACCGGGAAGCCCACAGCATCTTCGAGCGGAACCACAGGGACCGGGAAGCCCACAGCATCTTCGAGCGGAACCACAGGGTCCGGGAAGTCCACAGCATCTTCGAGCGGAACCACAGGGTCCGGGAAGTCCACAGCATCTTCGAGCGGAACCACAGGGACCGGGAAGTCCACAGCATCTTCGAGCGGAACCACAGGGACCGGGAAGCCCACAGCATCTTCGAGCGGAACCACAGGGACCGGGAAGCCCACAGCATCTTCGGGCGGAACAGAACCTACTCCCACTGATGCACCTAAAAAATTAAGCCGTGGAGCTGTTGCTGGTATTGTAATAGGTGTTTTAGTGATTGTAGCCATTTTGATTGCAGTAGCAGTCATCTTCATAAAGAGAAGATCTCAAAGCGAAGACAGACGCCCTTTAACAGCGTAGCACGATATGAAATAGAAATGATAAGCGATCATAAACAATTGTAATATAAAACATTATTGTAAATTTAATTTGGAAAAATTAAAGTAACAATTACAAATTTTATCTTTTATTACATACCTCGTACACTCCTAGTGTACAGTACAGTACAGTACATATATAATGAATAAAGCTGGCTGCATGGAGTTTTCTGTGTTTTCTTCACGTATCTAACAATTAAACTGCTCTATTTACTTTACATAAGGGGTATTCAAAGTTTCGTATTGGGTAAACGACTAGAAGTTTGAGGACCTCATTACTACAAAAGTCATAAAATACTGAACAATTTCAATCAATCAATAAATAAAATAATTCTTTTACAATACAATTTTCATCAAAGAGTTACAAATTTAATAACAGTTGGAATAACGTTGAATTGTAATAAAGCATATATACAGATTTTTTTTAAAAAAGTAAATAACTTATTTATTTATTTAGCATTCTGGTACAAAGACCCTGATGCGAGAATAGAACAAAACATAAGTACACATAATCTTACAAAATAATATAAACATATTCTACAAATATATCCATCAATTGCAGTAACATAATAATATATTAATAAAAAATTACAAAATTCATCAATCACTCTAAACTAAATTCAATCAAAAAAAAACAAAACTTAAAGAACTACATGGGAGAACTATCCGAAACAAATTAACAACCAACTAGGTTAAAACTTACCTAGAAAAAGGAAAAACAACAGTTTAAATCACTCGTTCAAAAAAGAAATCGGATAGTCTCCCCATAATAACTTGATTTTAGATAGAGCACTGAAATGACATTTAATTAAGCGATTTTTATAAAAATCCAGCAACTCATTGCTAAACTTTCCCAGTTAAAAAGATTTCATTTAAAAAATAACTTTTATATTATTAATTATAATAAATAACGTTGCGTGTGTTACGAGATTTTATTACAAATTTTTTTTATATTTTTAATTATTATACAGTAGTAAAAAACATTGTATAATAATAATAATAATAATATATAAANTATATATATATATATAATCAGGAGTCATGGCAGTGATCCCCGGCTAAGTAAAAATACCATTGATGGACATATACAGAAATCAGAATTGATGATTTTTGATTTTCGGGGGTCGATTTCTCCGTTCCCAAACAACTGAAGTAATTCCGAATAATTTGTTCGAAAGAAAGTTGTTTTCTTAAGTAGTGTGCAAAATTTTAAGATTTTCTATAAAGCGGTTGCCGAAATATAAGCAATTGAGAAGTTTAAAAATAGCAAAAAAGCTTATTTGCTTCTTTTTCAAAATCCACTGGGTTTAGAAAGCTCAGATTTTAAGCTTAAGCCATTCTCGTTATCAGTGAGGTGCTGACAAAACTTCCAGATCGATAGGTCAAAGTTCACGGGGGTTTTCCATAGAGTTAATTCAGTTTTTACGGCTTAAGTTTAATGCTTATAAGGATATAATTGCATGGAAATAAATGAATTTTATTCAGTGTTACAAAAGCTCAAATTTATGAATTTAGACCACGGTCAAAATTCATAAATTTCTTAAAAGTTTTTTGTTTTGGTAAAGATAAGCTTGACGCTTGGAAGCGGTACCCACAAGATTTTTGCCTCTATTATTGTTTTCTACATTTTGCCCTGGAGGCGAAATGTAGAATAAAGGGCATCATATATCATTGTACATACGATATAAAAAGGGCAAACAATGCCCTTTTTTATATCGTATGTACAATGCGGTATGTACAATGCATCGTATGTACAATGCGGTATAAAATATAATGTACTGCACATACAATGTCCTTTTTTTTATAACTCGTGCCCCTCTTTTTTTTACTGTCTGTAGGCACTGCTGATGAGTAGCCAGCAGTGTCCTCTTCTTAGATGTAGATGTTGCATTCATAATTTACGATAAAAATATGTAACTGAAAACTGAAATTATAAAATCCACCAACGAATTAGATCGTAACTTAAAATTCGAATACGAATAAGAAAATAGAAATTGAATTAATTATTTAGATATATCAATATTAAGATTGAATAATAAAATGAAAATTAGGACCTAACAAAAAACATGCAATATGAAAAAAACAACAAATTATAAATAAATCTTACTGTCCATTACTGTATAAAGTTTTAGGTTATTCCAGCGTTAACAAGTGTAGACATTTGTGCCTATATTTAGGGAATTTCAGTAGCCAAGGGGAATTTTAATTGCGTAGAACTTTGCGAATTTTAAAAAGGATGTATCTCATACAAGTGTTTGCGACTTCTATTAAAATTCATTCAAGATAAATAAAATAATTTAAGATTTATTGGTGTGCTCGCTATCTCATAGCCAGTAATATTCGTAGCATTAATTAGTTTTAAATATTTAAATTTTAAAATATTTAGTACAGGACAGTGTCGCTTTTACGACCTAGAAAATTGTCGTTAAGTGAACGTTCTTTTTCTATCTCTTCAAAATCAAAATTGAGAATACGTTCTTGAAAATGAAAGTTTTAACTATAAAAGTGACTTGAAAAGGATTTTACAACTTTGAAAACATATTGAGTTTGAATTATAGCAAAACACGTCTAGTTTACCTCACAATGTGCAGAAATGTTGCTTCGTATTCAAGAAGACGAGACATTCCTAAACAACACTTTTAGTGATGAGCCGACAATGCCTCTTATTAGTAAAGTGAACACGCACAACTGCAGATTTGGGGCTTGAAAAATCCACAAGCAACTGAGGTACATGTTCGTGACGGTTCAAAAATAAATGTATTTTGTACTTTTAATAAACAGTGCTTTCTTTTTCCATGGTCGTCTCTCTAGATATTCTAGAAAATTTTTCCATTCCGCTCTTAAATGATGATGATACAGAAGGATTCATACACTTTCACTCCCTCATTCTCACTACTATTTTTAAATAAATTTGTCATTTTCCATTTTTTAAAATAAACATAGGCATAGATAGACATGTTTGGCATTTAGTATTGAGGTAAGTGTTTCTTTTTCTCTCTGTTTCTTTATTTTTTTCGCTAGTTTTTGTAATATCACAAATTTACTTAGTTCATTACATATTTCCATTATACTTTTCGCAATTTCTGATAATTGTTTTTTTTTTAAATCGTAAATGTGATGTATAGAAGTCACTTCTGTTATTTTATATTATAATAATTTTAAAATATTGTTCTACTTCATACTAATATTTATCACATGTTTATAAAGATCAGGATTATTGACAATTGCAGCTGGAGGTTAGGCGGAGTCATTTAGCTACGAATATAAAAATACCACAACTGTTTTTTCCCCTTATAAATAAAAAGCTTATTATTCTGTTACGAATCGTCTAAATTACAGTGTAATTGTGATCTCCAGATGACACCAACGTAAAAGTAATACAGTATGCCAATTACGTTTTCACTTTTGTTTTTAATTAAAAAATTCAAGTAATTCAACATAATTTAAAATTTGTGAAAATACACAATTCTAAATGTTAATATTTTTATGAACCAAATTGGAAGTAACATTTTTTTTTCTATTTTTCTTTTTTTTTTATAAATAGTAACTTTATATAGGCCTATAGCATAGCATACTTTTTGCTTAATAAAAAAAAGGCCGTAAAAATAACTGTATAAATTTACTGTATAACTGTATAAATAACTGTTTTTAATGCAAACACAAAATTTATTAAATGAGCGTTGTGTTTAATTAAACTGAGCTATCATGATTTTCTAATAAAAACTAGAACACTAAATTGTGTTGTAACATGCCTTGAAATATATAGGCCTATATTGTATACTGATAAACAAACCTATTTTATTTTACTTGAGAATTTCAAAATAATGATGGATTAATATTATCCAGATAGAACTAATATAAAAACATTTTTTTTTTTATTTAAAGAACAAAAACATTGCAAAATAATATAAGTTGCAGAGTTGATATAAAATCAAATTAATAAAGTTTCAGTATTAAAAATTTCATACTTTTAAATAAATTCTTAGTGAAAATAAAAATAATAAAATGTAATATTTATATTTAATTGAAATGATGATTGATTTTCTCTGCATATAGCATGATAAAGTTAAATTTTTCAAAAACTATCAAAAACATATTGTTCTTAATATTGGTATAATGTTGATAAAATACTGATATTAAGTATAATTTAGCTTTAGAAAATTGTTTGGAAGTATCAATTTAATATCTTATAATAAATGATCATTAAATATATAGTTATATAATGTGATGAGCGATAAAATTGAATGTAAAATTTTTAGTCAATGAAAATTATTTATATTTTAATCTGAAAGATTATGTCAAGACAACAGATAAAGATTTTTCTCAAGAACACTTCATCAATATAATTGGTGTAGGTAACAATTATATTTTCTTAAAAAGAGAATGTTTGTTCTAAATCAGATGTATTTTGATCACTTTACAGNGACCTCGACTACCATCAACATCATTCAGACAGCAGACATCTTACTCACCCCCACACTTCAGGCCAACGCCCTCGCTAATCACTTCGGTAGGGCTCGTCAGACAGGCACCTTTGCCCCTCTCGGCCCTCCCCGGCAGGGGCCTCTTCTCCAAGACGACAGCCCATTTCACATAGTAGAACTACAAAGGGCCCTTCATCGGACGCGACGTAAGACCCCAGGCTCTGACGGGGTATGTGCGCAAGCGTTAAGATCTCTCTCCTCGGGGGGAAGAAATGTACTTCTGGATAAATTGAATGATATCTGGTCCAGGGGATCTTGTCCTTCAGAGTGGACAACCGCCACGATAATCCCGATCCTAAAACCAGGCCGAGAGGCGACAGACTGTTCAGCTTATCGCCCTATCTCACTCACATCACACATAGCTAAGGTGTTTGAAAGGATGCTTCTAGACAGGATTCAGATCATGGCTGTCCGGAATGACATTTTCCACAGGCATCATTTTGGGTTCCTTCCCTACAGGGGGGTAGAGGAAGCGCTGGTTGTTTTACACCATCACATAGCAGTGGCAAGAGCGAGACGCCACTGGGTCTACTTGGTGGCCTTGGATCTGGCGGAGGCATACGACTCCGTCTGCCAAGAGGGCCTCTTGGCCAAACTGGAGCACTATGGCTTCAGAGGGAGGTTACTCAGGTGGCTAACCTCATTTCTTCGTAATCGCACTTTCCAGGTTCGCTGGCGAATGGCGCTCTCCCACCCCAGGGCCTACCCACATGGTGTCCCGCAGGGTAGTGTGCTGGCTCCGTTCCTTTTTACTCTATACATGGCCNTTTAGTTATCAAAATAACAATTTAAACCATATTTATTAACAATAATAAAATGTTATATAAGAAAGAATATACAAATGATAGCTAAAATTGCATTTTTGTTTAAATGTAAAAGTCTGTAAATGCCATTATTTGTGAGTAATTCTTTAAAAATCGAAAAGCCCGTCTCCAACCTTCGAAGTAAAATGTAAATAATTACTATAAATTCACTTTTTTAATCGTCTTTTTTTTAAACTCTAATTAGCTAATTTAATGTTCTTAGACACTATTTAAGCAAGTAAACATTTTAGAATCGTCAAATGATATTCAAAACAAATTTTTATGTGTAGAACAAAAAAAAAATAATAATTAATTTAAACAATATGTTTTTACGAAATGTTAGCAGAATTAATACCAAGACATCCAAAGCAATAGCTTGATTAATCAATAGCAAGCAGTGTCACTATATTATTCTACATTATTTTACTATAAGTCACGTACTGTACAGTAATCTTAGTATGTACAAAAAATTAAACAAAAGTTAGTTAAATTTATATTACGAATGGAATAAAATTATAATTTTAATCTCCAGTACTTGTCTAAATTTTTAATATTTTTAGCCCGAACAATAATAATAATCAATTAAAGAAAGCACAAAAAAATTTCTTTACTCCGTGAATAAAAGCTAGTTTCTATTGTTGTGCTGTTACTATTATTTTCTAGACAAATGAAAATAAGGTACGATGACAAATTCTTATTCTCATTTGTTTTATGAATCGGAGAAATAATTTTGTTAGTAGGCTATACAAACGCATTGATATCCACAAAAGACAAAAAGAGGTAATAATCAGAGAATCTACATTCTATTCTTATTGTGTTAGATCTAGAATTTGCTTGACCAATTTTACTCTTACGCTTTTCCCTGGGTTTTATTTTTTTATTTATTTTTGACAAAATGGCGAGTCTTTTTAATTTCACGTTAATAAAACAAAGATGAATTGTATGTACTGTAGTACATTAGTGAGATGAGCAATAATACTTTTTAAATAATGGACTCGTTATATCGTTACTTCCGATTGGATAATAGAACGTCATGTGGTTACTATGGAAAGGATTTTTTAAAAAATTTGTTATAGAAGTGTCTAAAGTTTAAATTTTTCCCTCCAAACTTGATACTTCCAGCTGAAGATATGGAATAGATTAAACGCTCTCCTTTTCTCCCACCGGCTAGGTCATAAACAAAGCAGGGTGTCGATTGCTCTCTGTAAGGAAAGAACTAATGCGGTCACCGATACTAAATGTGAAGGGAGACTGATCTCCGACCTCTCCTGGATGATGCTGCCCGGGGTCGATTGTTTATTTTACTAATCGCGCATTTTTCTTTCTCGTGTATCTTCGCACGTCAGACAAATACATTCCTTAGAGCAGGGGTTCCCAACCTTTTTGTGGAGCGGGAGCAAATCGGATTTAAAAAAATTAAATATTATGTCCTTTATTATAACATACATTTTGTAACATATTTACTATAACATATATATTTATTATAAAAGCCGAATTAATGCGATCTTTGACACTGCATTTCGTTTACTAATTTCTCACAGTTGGGAGTGTAAGATGATAATCCCGATCGTAAACAATCTTCAATGTTGGCATTACTAAGTTGAGATCTGATTTTTGATTTTATAATATTCATGATGGAAAATAAAGATTCGCATAAATATGTGAAACCAAAACAGAATTTGATTTTGAAGGCTCCTTTTTTCAAAAGATTATACTTTTTAGTAACTAAATTACAAAAGTTTTCATCGGTATCGTGAGATTTTAATATGATGTCATTTTGAAAATCTAAAATCTCTTCTTCAATTATTGATGCTTCTTTTTGAAGAAGTTCTGTTATAGATTTAGCAGTTTCAGTAATGTGTACTTATGTAGTAAAAGGATTTACAAAAATTGTAGCCACGGGTTCGATAATGGTAAATTTCTAGAATTTACTTTCAAACTGTTCCAAAAGGTTAAGGATGAGGAACTTTTGAAATAAGGGATTTTTTTTATCTCTTCCCTGTCTTAGAGTATGACTTTTATAAATGTGAAAAGCTTCTCCGTTATTTTTACAAAATTCGCATTCGGTAGCAAATTTTTTCTTCTCCTTAATTGTTTCGGGACAATATTTCCTATCTTTACCATTGAAAGAAAAATCTTCATTAAGTAAAATTTAAAATAATAACTATCTATATATTTAACCCATTCAACAGGTGTCCGTCCGCGTAACCGTTTGATAACGGACACTAGAGGCGCCCCTATCGTGTGTCATATTTCAAACATTCAAATTAACAATATAAATTATTATTATTCATTTGGCCTATAAATTATTATTTGGTCAATATAACAATATAAATAATTCAGTATATTTGTAATAGGAATTTATTATTGCAGGGGCTTATATCTCGCGAAGGGTCGCGAGTAGGGGTATGGTTCCTTTGACTTTATTGTTCGCACAGGGGCTACAGTTTGGGGGGTCGCCACCTCTTTATTTGGAGGGTAAATCTTACCATTGGGACTTTAACAGAGCTGTACAGCATATTGATAGGAACAAAAAAGTCAAAGGAACCGTGCCTCATGGAAATTTGTAAAGAACGCCCACTAGGGGGCGTCCCAGGCTACTAGTAGTAAATAAATAAATAAATACTAGATATTGTAAATGTGGATGGTTAGTAGCATATTTAACGATTAAAATAAATACAAATTTTAGGTGATAAAACTTTATTTAAATAAAACTGTTTAACTCGAATAGATGTTTTAATGCAGTATTTTTATAAACTCACCGAAATTATAATTTATATAAAATAATTAATATTTCATCTATATATTAACTAATATGAAACTTTCTATTAACCGCAGAAACGGTGTACTACTAAAAATAAGCATTTTGTCTTGTAACCGAGGGTTAATAAGACATGAAATATTTGACTTAAAACTATTCCACAAAAATAATATTTTTATATACACTGTATTTGTATTTAAAACAAAACTAAATATTTATAAAAACAAATTTAAATGTAAATTATCCAGAATTTACGTTTAGTTATGGTGCTTGGCATTCAGATACTGGAATGCATTCATTCAAATTGGGTTCACTTGAAGCAAATCCATTCTCACATGTGCAGACGGGTTGTGGTCGGAATGGATATCCAGTATAAGCTAAGCCTGGTCCGGTACAAACTGTAAATCGCCCATTTAAATCTAATTTTGTATTCGGTTCTTGACAGACACCTGGTAAAGAAATACAAATATTTCAAAACGTAAAACGTATGGTTGTATCACATTAATAAATTATGTAAAGAATATACTTACGCTGACTACATTTTTCTATAGGAATGCAATTATTTGTACTTTTTTCTCTAATAAAATCAGTTTTACACATGCATCCAGAATATTTCGGTTGTCCAAGACAAGGCTCTTCTAATACACTTTCGCAGGGCGATTCGCAATCCACTTTATATTCTTCGTTCACTCCACACTCTACTTCGAATAATTATTTTAAAATATACATTATTGTAGATAATATTATGTAGAAATTTATATACTACTTAAACTTTAATGACGATTATACTTACTTATATTGCTCCCATCTACAGCGCAGAGCATAAAAATCGAACAAAAAATTCCGCAACTGAGAACGAATTTGTACATTCTTATAATGGACAGAGAATGCAATATATGATGCACGAATAAGAGAATCTATAACATAAATAACTATATATAGATAATTTCATAAATTGTGGGAAAGTCCTTGAAAAAAATAAATTATTAATTCTTACAGAAGATAATATACTGTATATCAGGATCAAAGTTCTATGAACTAGTTCACCCTAAATATTTTATAATACTTATTTTTATTAAAGCTTAAAATTATGAAATTTTCTAAAAGGAAATCACATCGCTTCGTTTCCTCTTTTGTAATTCTCATGTCGTAACGCGTTGTACTGTACTCTAGAAGTCAGTTTTAAATAAACCATTTAAAAAAAAATGAAAAGTTACTCTCTGAGGTAAATTAAAATATTACCTACAACACATGAAAAATATTGATGTAATTACAAAATGACTTCATTCAATTCAAAGTTATTTATAGAACGAGTAATTATTTATTGTAACATAGTCACAATGCCAAGCCGCAATTTTTAATTATATTAAAACAAAATATTAATAACATCTCTTTCGGGTCATTGTTATTATAATTGTTTAATACTAACGAGGATAAAAAGCAAAACAACTAACAAAATTAAATATGAAAAATCCTTATGTTTTCACATGTACGTTTCGTACTGTTGATTTACATTTTAAGTTAAAATTCTGGATATGATTCATCATTTCAAAATCAAAAGTAAAAACTACGAGTTCAAAAGCGAAAATTCGTAAATGTTTTCGCTATTTTATATAATACGATTAATATCTGAATAGAGTTAAATCTTACATTTAAAATGTTCTGGCATTTATTTTTAACTGTATCCGTTTTATTCCTGCACGGTTTGTGTTGTAATGAGGACTCGGCAGCGATTCATTCTCATCTAAGTATCGCTTCATTTAACATTCAGAATTTCGGAGATAAAAAATTCTGTAAGAAGGATGTTGTTAATGTTATTAAAAAGGTTGTACTTAAATGCATTTATTTTATTTCTTAATTTAAAATAAATGATAATATTTAAAACGTTTTCGTAGATTATTACACGTTACGATTTAATTTGTTTGCAAGAGATTGTTGCACAGAAAAGGGCCTTTTTATATAATTTATTGAATGATATTAATCGGTAAGTAATAAATAAATAATAAAAGATATGAAGAAACTATTGAATTTTTCTTTTTTCTTCTTTTTTTCTTAGAATTTCATCAAAGGGACAATATGCAATGGTAATAAGTGCATCTCTCGGAAGAAACTCAACCAGTAAAGAGAATTATGTATATTTTTATAGGTATATATTATTCTTTAAATGTATCATTTACTTAACTTGTATATCATTTAATTAATTATTTTGTAATTAGAACGAATCGACTGACAGTTGCTGAAGTACAAGTCTATCCAGATCCAAACAAACTCTTCTTTCGTCCTCCTTACATAGCATATTTGCATTCGCCGACAACGAGTAAGCGAAAAAATTATTTTTAAAAGAAACTTGTGCTATTTTTAAATTTATGTATTCTTTGTTTAGGATCTTTGTCCTCATTTATCGCAATTTGCGTCCACATAAAACCCAACAAATCGGCTAATGAAACCAGTGCGTTAGCGGACGTATACGATTATGCCAAGAAATTATATCGTAATGAGGTAAGAGTACTTTCGTCTATGATATATAAATGAACTTTATACATTAATAATATAAATATATATAACAGAATAGTGTTATTATGGGAGATATGAATGCCGCTTGTAAAAATCTACGCGTGAGCGAATGGTCGAATATATCTTTGTGGACACGACCAGAATTTTTTTGGTTAATTAACAACAGTGTCGATACGTCTACGTACACATCTAGTTGCGCCCACGACAGGTAACTCTTCTATTTATTTTTTATTATTGTAATGCATATCAATATATATTTTTTTATTTTTCGTAAGCAGAATTATAATAACTGGAGACGAAATGAAGCAAGATACTATATATAACTCTGTTAAAGCGTTAGATTTTCAAGCTGAATTTAATGTGACAGAACAACTGGTGTGTATTTTATATATAAATATGAAATGTATTATAAACACTATATAAATCTAAGAAGATCAGGACCGTCTTTGTGCAAACTTAAAAAAACTGTCTCCTTGAAAGTCGATATAAGTAATCAAAAAATTAAACAATCGATTGAAATGTTCATAAGAAACTATCCATAAATAACGTTCATACTGGAAGGGAGAGAGGGGATTATGACAAGTTGGACAAAATCAGACAAGGGGAGAAGAGGGTTGAACTTCAATGGACGCCCGTTTTATTTTATTAAATTTTTTATTCATAAAATGGCAAAGATTTTAGGGGTGTTGAGTTTTGTTGGACGTTCGAAGAGGAGAGGGCTTACAGAAACTTCGACAAACTGGGACAATGGGGGAGGAAGAGTAAGAATTTCAAGAAAATTTCGTAATTTATGGATCCTAAGATCACAGAAGATATATAATAAAGGCTGATGGGCATGGGCGATGTCCATGGTCGAATCTGTCGTCGACATTCGACGTCGTCATGTCGACGACAGATTCGACCAATCACTTTTTTATTTGTCAAAGGCAAAAGAGGCGATTAGTTGCAGCAGTCGTTGACAGCTGCAACTAATCGCCTCTGTCATAATCCCCTCTTGTCATAATCCCCTCTCTCTCTTCCAGTATGAACGTTATTAATTTTACCGCGCCGTATGCTTCTGCCTTAACACAATGACAATACCAGACACGAGCAATCATGGCCATATTAGGCCTATATCTAAATGAATACAGCTAGTGGATATTGTGTATATAATTCTTAGACTCCACGGTACAATAAAAATAACTTTCATTATATATAAAAGAAATTAAAATTTCGCCCCCTTTGAATAACCNCACATTAATAAATTATGTAAAGAATATACTTACGCTGACTACATTTTTCTATAGGAATGCAATTATTTGTACTTTTTTCTCTAATAAAATCAGTTTTACACATGCATCCAGAATATTTCGGTTGTCCAAGACAAGGCTCTTCTAATACACTTTCGCAGGGCGATTCGCAATCCACTTTATATTCTTCGTTCACTCCACACTCTACTTCGAATAATTATTTTAAAATATACATTATTGTAGATAATATTATGTAGAAATTTATATACTACTTAAACTTTAATGACGATTATACTTACTTATATTGCTCCCATCTACAGCGCAGAGCATAAAAATCGAACAAAAAATTCCGCAACTGAGAACGAATTTGTACATTCTTATAATGGACAGAGAATGCAATATATGATGCACGAATAAGAGAATCTATAACATAAATAACTATATATAGATAATTTCAATAACTGGTCATTTTGATCATTTTTAAATATGCTATTTATTTGTATTATTTATAAAAAAAAATTAAATGTAAATTATCCAGAATTTACGTTTAGTTATGGTGCTTGGCATTCAGATACTGGAATGCATTCATTCAAATTGGGTTCACTTGAAGCAAATCCATTCTCACATGTGCAGACGGGTTGTGGTCGGAATGGATATCCAGTATAAGCTAAGCCTGGTCCGGTACAAACTGTAAATCGCCCATTTAAATCTAATTTTGTATTCGGTTCTTGACAGACACCTGGTAAAGAAATACAAATATTTCAAAACGTAAAACGTATGGTTGTATCACATTAATAAATTATGTAAAGAATATACTTACGCTGACTACATTTTTCTATAGGAATGCAATTATTTGTACTTTTTTCTCTAATAAAATCAGTTTTACACATGCATCCAGAATATTTCGGTTGTCCAAGACAAGGCTCTTCTAATACACTTTCGCAGGGCGATTCGCAATCCACTTTATATTCTTCGTTCACTCCACACTCTACTTCGAATAATTATTTTAAAATATAGAATATTGTAGATAATATTATGTAGAAATTTATATACTACTTAAACTTTAATGACGATTATACTTACTTATATTGCTCCCATCTACAGCGCAGAGCATAAAAATCGAACAAAAAATTCCGCAACTGAGAACGAATTTGTACATTCTTATAATGGACAGAGAATGCAATATATGATGCACGAATAAGAGAATCTATAACATAAATAACTATATATAGATAATTTCATAAATTGTGGGAAAGTCCTTGAAAAAAATAAATTATTAATTCTTACAGAAGATAATATACTGTATATCAGGATCAAAGTTCTATGAACTAGTTCACCCTAAATATTTTATAATACTTATTTTTATTAAAGCTTAAAATTATGAAATTTTCTAAAAGGAAATCACATCGCTTCGTTTCCTCTTTTGTAATTCTCATGTCGTAACGCGTTGTACTGTACTCTAGAAGTCAGTTTTAAATAAACCATTTAAAAAAAAATGAAAAGTTACTCTCTGAGGTAAATTAAAATATTACCTACAACACATGAAAAATATTGATGTAATTACAAAATGACTTCATTCAATTCAAAGTTATTTATAGAACGAGTAATTATTTATTGTAACATAGTCACAATGCCAAGCCGCAATTTTTAATTATATTAAAACAAAATATTAATAACATCTCTTTCGGGTCATTGTTATTATAATTGTTTAATACTAACGAGGATAAAAAGCAAAACAACTAACAAAATTAAATATGAAAAATCCTTATGTTTTCACATGTACGTTTCGTACTGTTGATTTACATTTTAAGTTAAAATTCTGGATATGATTCATCATTTCAAAATCAAAAGTAAAAACTACGAGTTCAAAAGCGAAAATTCGTAAATGTTTTCGCTATTTTATATAATACGATTAATATCTGAATAGAGTTAAATCTTACATTTAAAATGTTCTGGCATTTATTTTTAACTGTATCCGTTTTATTCCTGCACGGTTTGTGTTGTAATGAGGACTCGGCAGCGATTCATTCTCATCTAAGTATCGCTTCATTTAACATTCAGAATTTCGGAGATAAAAAATTCTGTAAGAAGGATGTTGTTAATGTTATTAAAAAGGTTGTACTTAAATGCATTTATTTTATTTTTTAATTTAAAATAAATGATAATATTTAAAACGTTTTCGTAGATTATTACACGTTACGATTTAATTTGTTTGCAAGAGATTGTTGCACAGAAAAGGGCCTTTTTATATAATTTATT